TCCACCTCAAAATTATTTCGTTTTATTTATTTATTTTCTTATATTAATTGATTCACTTTTGAATGGTTATGATTCTTTTTTTCTCTCTCTTCGGTTATTACCATTCATCCATCTTTGTATACGGTTATGATTTAATAATCGGAGATAAAATAATCTCAAGCTTGAGAAACGATAAGCCTTACATATACACACACACACACATATATATATAGAGGTAGGATCCTTTGACACCAGTGTCAAATTTCAATTTTGACACTTCATCTCAGAACCGTTAGATCAAAAAAAATTAATGACTCTGATTTGCAAGCATGTGACACCATTGATCTTCTTTGATGTAATGGCTCTGAGATGAGGTGTCAAAATTGAAATTTGACACCGGTGTCAAAGGATCCTACCTTATATATATATATATATATATATATATATATATATATATATATATATATATATAGGGGAGGGATCATTTGACTCCAGAGTAAGATTTAAAAGTCTTACTCCTCATCCCAGCTCTTGATTTCCGTTCATCCAACGGTTAACATTTAATAAGTAACAACAATTAATTAATTATTAATTTTAAATAAATGCTAGCCGTTGGATGAACGGAAATCAAGGGCTGGGATGAGGAGTAAGACTTTTAAATCTTACTCTGGAGTCAAATGATCCCTCCCCATAATATATATATATATATATATATATATATATATATATATATATATATATATATATATATAGAGGTAGGATCCTTTCACACTGGTGTCAAATTTCAATTTTGACACCTCATCTCAGAACCGTTAGATAAAAAAAAATCAATGACTCTGATTTGCAAGCATGTGACACCATTGATCTTCTTTGATCTAATGGCTCTGAGATGAGGTGTCAAAATTGAAATTTGACACCGGTGTCAAAGGATCCTACCTCATATATATATATATATATAGGATAATAATTTTTTATGCAACATTAGAAAAGTATTAATTTTTACACTCACATTTTCTAAATGGATCCCACAATATTTTTTTTCTCTAACCTCCAACTTTTTTCTCTTTCCTATTTATTGTTTGAATAGGAGATAATACTTTTTCTTATGTAATATAAGAAAAATATTACCCATATATATATATATATATATATATATATATATATATATATATATATATATATATATATATATATATATATATATATATATATATATATATGGGAAGGGTTATACTTACCACCAACTAAACTTTCCACCCTTACAATCAATCTAATCACCGTTAGATTAGAATGAAATCTAATGGTGATTAGTTATCCATTATAATCTTAATTTTTTCTCTCACATCCCCTCTCTGTCTGCCTCTTTTTTTTTTTTATGTTTTCATCCCATCTTTGTCTCTCTCTAGGTTTAGTAAATGCACAATAGGGGTCGCCATCATTTTGTTTTGAGTGCTTCAAAAGCAATAACATCAAATTGAGTAATAAAAAATTAAATACATTTTTAAATAAGATTAACGAAAGACTTAACAAATTTTTCATTGCCTTTGACAAACCCACAATAACAACCTATGTGTCCAAAGATACCTCTCAAGCTCCTAATGGTTCAAGGAGCAGGCCATTGTTGTATACTCTTAATCTTCTTAGGATCCATGGACATTCTCAGTTTGGATATTATGTTGCCCAAGTATCGAAATCATTTCTCCTTCAAGGTGTTGGAAGCCTTTACCACAAATGCTTTAGAGTTTTTTTTTTTTAATATACTCATCCATTATCCTTCCTTGCCTAAAAGTGGCAAGGCTCTCATATATGTTTCCTAGAGTTTGATCTCTAATCTCTAAATTGTTAAATCAATGCTGCCATTGAACCTTCCAAATATAGAGAGAGAGAGAGAGACAAAGGCAGACAAAGAGGGGATGAAAACCTAGAGAGAGAGGGGCAGACAAAGAGGTGATGAAAACCTAGAGAGAGAAAACCTAGAGAGAGAGTGAGGCAGACATAGAGGGGATGAAAACCTAGAGAGAGAGAGAGGCAGACAAAGAGCGGATGCAAGAGAAAAAAATTAAGATTATAAGGGGTAACTAATCACCGTTAGATTTAATTTTAATCTAACGGTGATTAGATTGGTTGTAAGGGTGGTAAGTTTAGCTGGTGGCAAATATAACCCTCCTCTATATATATAATAAGGGATAAGTTATTTTACCTACTTATTTTTTTTGTCTATATTTGTTTATCACTTTTCAATATTATTAGATCAAAATCCCAACTATTATATTATTTCTCTCTTCTATTGAAATTCTGATTTAATGTTATTGGATAGTGATGGGTAAAAATAGAAAGAAAAAAAAAGTAGATTAAATAACTTAACTCATATAATAGATAAAATTATTTTATATAATATGAGAAATATTAATAAAAAAATAAGTGTTACTAGTTCAAAGAATTGGTTAATGATACACTAGACAACAAGCAAATAAATGTTGGATACCTTTTGGATGGCCGAGCCCATCTCCGTACACAAAGGGTCAACCCAATCCACCAAACACAGAACTTTTTATGGTCCAGGAGCATCTCAACCCATTGAATTTAAAGGTGGAAAGAAAAACAGAAAAAAAGTGGAGAAGAAATCAACGTTCAAGATTATTCCAGGAGTAGGAAAATTCTTACAGTTGGAAAACTTCTTACACTACGATAATACAAGAATTTTTCGTCAAATACACCTTACTAGCATCGACCGAACGCCCACTGAAATGACTAATGTATATGTTAATTAGCATCAACATATCACTAATAATAAGAAAATTGTAGATTCACCTAAAACGAAACGATTAAGAAAATTTATAATTTCGGGAAAGTCTTAGCCCTTATTTTTAAGCACATACTAGTATTTAGGGAAACCTTCTCATCAAACTTGAAAATCCCACCCCACTTTCTCTCACTAAGATTATAAATAAGTGAAACTTACGTGGTATTAATAATAAAAAAGTGGGGATGAATATGATTTAAAAAAAATAATAATAGTGGATGATGGATTGTGTGCCCAATACTACAACAAGAGCTATGTTGCACTGACATCGACATGAAATACGGAATACGACACGACACTCTGACACGTTAATTCCAAAAAATGTTAAATTTCAACACGTTAGGACACGTTTTGATATTATATAATATTTTTAATTTATGTAGTATACATTATGTTTAATATTCAATAATTTAACAAAAAAATAAAACTAAACGTATAATACCCATCAATTTTGCAAAGAAACATAAGATATCCCAATGTTTATATTAAACTCAATAAAATAGTAATCGTAATCCAACGAATCTAATAGTTGGGACTCAAAATGCAACGCAACGTAATCTTTGAAACTTTTTTGAGTCTTTGCAACGAATATTGGAGTGTCAGAAAGTGTCAGAGTGTCGGTGAGTGTCGGACACGACACATCAGGGATTTTGAAGTGTCGGTGCTTCATATAACAAGAGTACTGAAAAAAATTCTCCACCAAAAAAAAGAAGAATACTGAATTTTTTTCCAAAATTGGAGTCAATTGATGGTGTTATTAAAAGGGCTTTATTAATCTCATGCAATAGGAGAGAAGTTCTCTCATGTTATAGAGACAATCATGTGTAGGACCCACCCATTTATAGAGAAAGAAAAAAAAAATAAAAAAGTAACACGGAAATTGATATATGTGTAGGAAAGAAAAACACTCTCCTACAACATAAGTATATATTTTCCCTTATTAAAATTTTCCCCGAGAAAATCTAGTTTAGTGGTTGTGTGTGCCCTGATTTTTCATTTCCTTTATACCACTATCATAAAAAAAAAAGGAGAAATAGTTGTCTTATATTGCATATTCATAAAATTTTATGCTCATTTTTTCATTTTTCTATTTTTTTTTAAATTGTGGACCCCACAATTTTATTTCACCCATATAAAATATCAATTTTATGTGACATAAGATTAATAACTCCCTAAAAAAAATGCCTGCTAACACATTCTATTACACTATCTTTTCAACATTACTTAAATTCACCCAATAATAAAAATAAGATATTGTTATGGGCATCCTATCGAGACAGCTAAGCAGCTCATATTCTAGAAGGCTCAAATAAGGCTAACAGCTAAGAGGGAATTAAGGAAATATTCCTTAACTATATTAATCCTATTACGGCGGCAATAGATCAACAATTGGACCTCCAATACTCTTAAGCGTCCCAAAAATCCGCTCCTTCCAGGTAACCCATCTATAAATAAAGGGTTAAACCAATAAGGTACACACTCCAAATCCTCTGTCTTTGTCACTGTGCACACACCCCACGTCTTGACTATGTGTTATGTTATAGTGCACAGTGATCTGTATCTTTAGGATATTTCTCCTACAGAGAGGACAAACAGATCCAATATTAAATTACCAATTTCTAATTCGACATATCTATTTATCATATGGTAACAGATATCAAAAAATATATTACCAGCATTCATCTACAAACATTGGGAAATGCATGAAGATGTAGGTGTATTGAGTCTATTGTAACAATCAGATTTTATTTTCATCTTTTATAGTTTGTATTTTTCCTATTTTACAATTTTTACCGAGACACTGCTGTGATAAATTTTCCATTTTGATGATGCAACCATTTCTTTGCATTTTGCATTTTGCATTTTGATTACGTTCTTGTCTATCTGAATGTAAACAAGTTATCCCATAAAAAAATTTCTCCAACTAATACAGAAGATCAAGGACCTGTAGTACGTGATGCAGGACTTGAATAAATCAAACTTACGAGACATAACAAAAAAATTTCTATTCCATTAATTCATGACTTTCAGGTTCAAATGTTATAAAAAAAAAAAAAAACATTAGAAACACGTAGATGTATGTATAGGCAATCAATTCTAGCAGACATGAACTAACTTGTGAATTCAGCCAGCAATTTCATGTTTGTAGCTTCTGGCTCACTGATTGCGAAGAATATAAAATGTCTTCAAATCAAGTGGAAGATGGTAACATTTGTTACTATAGCAAGATGAACATGGGAACAGTGGTTCTGGTTTTAGATCTATAGAACATTTTCTTCTTCTTGAAGGTCCCATTTTCAACTCTTATCACTATCTTCCCAGGTTCATTGATGTAAAAGGAGTTTCTGGTGCTTTCACCCACTATATTTTGGTTTTGCAGTAATATATTGTATGAGCCTTCATCATCTGGAATGAACTCTTCCTTGTAGGACACATCCCATCCAATCACAGTTACATCCCACATTACGGTCACTCCAGGCTAGACACATTGCAAAATCAAATTAGAACAAAGCAAACAATGTCCAACATGGTAAATAATAACATGTTTTAGGTGCATTCAATTTGAAACCCCAAAAAAGAAAAAAAAGAAAAAAATCATGTTGAGCACCTCATTGACAGGAAATTCAACTCTAGAAACTGTATTTCCTTTGATTTTAAGCTCTAAAACTTTATCAGCAGGAGAGAAATCTTGATCATTTTCCCTCTTTAGACCACCATATTCAGCTGGAAGATGATCTGGGGCTATAAACCTTTACAAGTCACAAAGTTAGCAGTAGTTTAATAAGATAAGATTCAGAGAATGGGACACTAAGGTTCATGTTAAGCATGCATACTTTAGAAGTGCCTGTGTGGCCTTTTGTGGTCTAGCTAATATGAACTTCTTTTTACTTCTCTGATTCATGAACCTTGAGAATAGCACTTGAGACGTGTAGAACCAAAATGGAGCATTTACTACAATCTGCAAATCGAAAAGAAAAGGGAGAAATATCAACCATTCTGTAATTCCAATTTTAATTAAAGTCTTAACCACTAAGTTGTACTTTTTATATACTAACATTTTTGTAAATGATCTCAGGATAATAGTTCTGAAGCAGTTCCAGAGCTTTTCTGGTGAATGTGTTAAGCTCCTTCATTCCTTGCATTGATGTGTTCTTTAAATCATAAATCTGAATAATAGAGTCCACCCCTCCATCTCTAAAGCATAGCTTCTTTATAGCCCTTTCCATCAATTGAAACCTCCACCTCAAAAACTTGTCACGTTTCTGTTGTGTTCCAAAGGTTTGCTTATACAAGACCTTGTCTCTGGAAACCCCACTAACGTAATAACACACAGGACGACCTTCCCTATCCCTACTATTTAAGAACCCAACATTCTCAAACTCAGAACCCAAATCCTCATCAATGATTCCATCAATGTTGTTCTCACTTCGCCATATCATTGTCGTCTGTAGCATGTGAAATGCATCATTAACCTTGAAATCTTTGGCTTTCAAGAATTTCCTCAAGACAATATCAGTACCTTCATGAGCCTTGCTTGGCAATAAAGGGACACCCCAGAGAGTAATATCTCTGAGTTGTTCCCTCTTCAATGATGTGAGTTTCTCATGTGGTTCTTCCCCTAACAAGTAGTTTCCAAGAATGGCATCCTCAACCTTGCAACGGAATTCCAACAATGACTTCTTTATCTTAAGCTTGATTTCAGCAGGACTTGGGATTCTTCCATCTCCTCCCTGGGTTGACAACTCGAGATCTTCTTGATCACAATCATGGTCTTCTTCTTGGGGTCTTTCCTTATCATCAACAGGGTCTTGATCTTTTAGACTTTTCTCATTATTTTCAATGACCCCAACAAGGGTCTTCTTCACATTTTCGTCATTGCATTCATCGGTATCGTTCATGTTTGTTGGTTGTTATGGCCACAACCCTGAAGTATCCTCCGCAATGCTCAAGTTTTCCGGCACCGAGCATATGCCGGAAAACTGGAACATGGAAGGGGGTGGACAGGGAGGAGAGGAGAGGAGAAAAAAGGTGGCCTTACATGGAAGGGGAGGGGGAAAGTAGATAATGTTGAGTGATGATGGATTCAATTCCCTGAATTGACGATTCTCAACCGTTAGTTGAGTGGCGCTTAATATAGAGTTTGTGTGTGTACGTGCGTTGGCGTAAAGCTTGGTTTCATTGCCAAATCTTAATATGTTAGGATGATTTATATAACGCGTTGGCATGGTGCGCGAGAGGCCAACGCAACTTAATCAATCCACAGCAAAATCAAATGTTGGCGTGACAATGAACTATTAGCCTCTTTGTGTTTGGTTTATAGCTTAGAATTTTAAAATCAATGTTTAAACAAAAGCTGCAAAAAGACAGGTTTTTTCCCCTAAATTAAGATTTGGGGACCAAACATGCACACTACATTAGTGAATATCCCACTTCATCTTCTAAGTTGGACCTAACCATTATGCACGCAGAAAAATATATAGATGATGGTGTCACAGTTTAATTCTATATGATGAAGGTCCTAAATTTCTAGAGATGTACTCGAATGCCTAATTTTTATATAAAGAATGATTGGTTCAGCCACGTCAACTTTGAAATAACAATTATTTACAGCTCTAAATTAAAGCATAATTTCTTCATTTATTAAAATAGGATAGGAATAAAATTCAACATCAAAAACTTCAACTAAACTTTCTTATGCAAATTTTCAAAAAAAAAAAAGTTTCTTTATATAACGATACAGAAAGGTTGACAGTAAATTCCAAGATTATTAAATTTCTCTTCAACTAAAAATACAGTGACGAAGGTTAAATTTTAGCTGATGGATTAGTATACATGTGGAGAAAAAAGAGATGAAAAGCATTAGAGTTAAATTAATTCATTATTATGTTGATAAATATTACATTTGTTAAATTCATTTGCACATAATAACTTTCATGTTCCATAAAATATACATTATATTTCACAAGAAAAAACAGTGAGCAATGAAGTCGTGCAATTGATAAATGTTTCACCTATTGAGCGAGCCCACTACAGACTTCGCCTCTTCTTCCATATAGACTAAATTCGTAAATATGCTTAAATTCTTGTGCCCGTTTGACTTTTACGGGAACTGTAAGTAGCATAAATGTGAAGATGAAAGTCAGGGCAGAGAAAAAAGTTCAATGAATAAAATACAATTAAAAAACGAATATTTAGACATCGAGCTACTGCATCTACATGGCATTTGCAGTGACAAAGGGAGTCTCCTGCGTCGAAGTCCTATTTACAATAATTTTAAAAAAGAACCCAACCGGTAACTTAAACAAACGAAATCGACAAAAGGGATGATAATGAGATACAGATACAAGTTCGGCCATCTTTAAACAAGAAATAAAAATGCAACCTATCTATGTACATAGCAGGCAGCTTATCAACTGTACCCTCCTATGAATAAATTTTAGGCCTCCCGGTATTTAGTCAGATCAAATGTGAGAGTTCTCGAACAGCTGCAAAAAGCAAAAACATTGTACATCATGTAAACCGGGTAGATACACGAGATTTATGCCATCAACATACCGAAAAGAAAGGGCAAAATGATAATATAAAAATCAAATACAATGTGAAGAAACTCACCCTCTTTCGGAGTCCCTGTAAACCCCAACTAACGCTTCAGCTTTGTCATAAAAGCTGTCTTTCAATGAAATCACGATACTCTGAAAACCACTTCCACCATCAGCATCCTGACTAGCTCTCGTTCCTTCACAAGATTTTGTACGAATAAAGCCAGCAACCTTAGCAACATTCAAGTTGTCCAATGCAGCATCAACTTCATCCAAAATGAAAAACGGTGAAGGCTTATAGCTGAAACAAGAGGCAAGTAGGGAACCACGTTAATGGAACATGCTGATCAAAACTCGGGGAAATTACTTTATGCGAGATGTGTCAGTATATTGCTTAGATAAGACTATTATTATAACTAAAAACCAGAAAGACACTCTTGTTCAAATCTGTTAGAGAATAGTATAAACCATTAAAAAACTCTCACCCACCAGCTTAAGCTTTTGGGCTGAATTGGTTCTTTACATGGTATCAAAACCTCGTATCTTGGGTTCGATTCTCACCGCCCCCCACTTTCTCTGTGGAGTTTTCTTAGCACAGATAGGTGGGTCTGTGCATTGTCTACCCTTCAAGCTCAGTGGGCTCTCATGTGAGGGGGCGTGTTAGAGAATAGTATAAACCATTAAAAAGCCCTCACCCACCAGCTTAAGTTTTTGGATTGAATTGATTCTTGATAAAATCTAAGTTTGAAAAAATGCTTAAGTTACTTAAAGATCCATACCTTAAGGGTGCACCTCTGCATATAGGTAGGGGTAGGGGTATTAGTTTAACAAGTACAAGCAATTCTATACCTGTGGATGGAGAATAGCAACGCAAGTGCAGCAACAGTCTTTTCTCCACCAGATAACAGCTCCATATCACGGAAGCGCTTTGTTGGAGGCATAGCAGTGTACTTGATGCCATGTAGAAATGGATCATCTTCATTTTCCAAGTTTAAGTATGCTGTTCCACCCAGAGGATGTGTGTTGCTCTTTGTAAGTTGTTTGTAAATTTTATCTATATTACCAGATATATGGTTGAAAGCATCCATGAACAACTCATACCTGTATTCAACACAAAAACTTTGGCATCACCAAAGGCAGATGGGATGCACAATAGCAAATACACATATTTCAAATTTCAAAACGAGCTTGGTAGAAACATCTCTCAACCCTTATCCGTAAAAGTGATATTATCAAATAATCAAGCTGACCAGGAGCTGATTTAACTTTTAATAGGAATCTTTTAACATGAGAACATATTTTCTGGATTCTATTATGTGAAGTTACCATCACAGTTCTGAAGGGTCATAAAGGTTCTTTTGGATTCGATTATGCGATGCCAAAGTAGCTAATGACAGAAAGCGGTGCAGAGTAACATACTTAAAAAGTGTAAAACACAAAATCATCCTAAAAGTTTTTAATTTTGTACCATAAATAATTGAACAATAGAGTTTCAATACTCAAAATTTAAGAAAAATTCATTATTCATACCAGTCAAAATGTTTTAAACTACTCTAATAACGTCTTCAAAGCACAACCAAATAAGCAAGTAAAAAGAAAGATAGTTTTACTTATGGACAGTGAAACCAAATACCAAAACAACGGACATTTATGTCAATTCATTTCTGAATAAATTTTCTGCTCAGAAAAAAATAGTTTTATTAAATAAAAGTTCACATTAGGGCACAAGGAACACAGCTGGGCATGAATTGTGTGAAACAGAACAGCAGAAGACTTCTTCAAGAGGCTATGGTTGAAACAGAGTTAAACCAGCCACAGCAAAATGTGGAGTAAATTCTGGCGTTCAGTGTGCCAGCCAGATCCACTATGGGCTTTCCAATCAAGAGACTAGATAGACCAGATCTAAACCAAAAACCCTAATAGCAGCCACTATGGACACCATTCATGTCCGTGGAGCACCACAATTGAGGTACCACTTTGCTAAATTGATCCACCCTGCTCTGGCCGATATTGACTACTCTGATGCTAAGCTAGATTATAACAAAACTGCATACACAGATAGTAACTATTCCCACAATCAATAAATCATAGTAGTAAATATGTTTTGAAACTTGAGATATATGGTTCACATTCTCATAAGATGAGCTAAAAGTGTTTCATATCTACATGTCTATCAATAGAGTAAGATAAAACTATCATGCAATTCAAACACAGATTTGCTTTTAAACTCCTCTTGATGTCAGTATTCCGTCTGCTCCATTTAAATAATCATACATTTTAAAAAAAATCTAAGAATCAACTTCACCTGCACTCCTGTACTTACTTTACAAGAAGGGCTTCCCCTTCCAAACCGATATAACACTGAATTACCCATGCTCATGTAATAGAATATGTATTGTATGGTATAGTAGAGCATTACACCATTTGCTTAAAATTGATAAATTACACTCAGTTCAGCACAGCCTCACTTGTTAAAAAGTACAACTCACTTCTACAAACAACTGGCCATTTCATTTTTCTTTTCACGTTTCCCTATGTAATTTTATGTTAAGACATTAACGTGTCCCACCTAAATCATGCATGCTTAGAATTATTGCTTATGTACTAATATTATAGATAAGACATGTACTGTCGAAAGGAACAAAAACAACTTGTACCTCCTCTGCTTAACTGCATTGAATCTTTCCGCTTTTTCCTTCTCCTCTTTCCTGACAGCTTCAAACTCTTCAGTTACAGCTCTTTCTTTTTCTAGCAGAGCCTCATATTGGTCCAATGCCTTCAAATTTGGTGCTGTTCTTTCCATCTCAGATATCAATGCATCCATTTTTTGCTTAAATTCTACCTCAATTTTATCCCTGTCAGAGTGTCTCCTATCTTTCAGTGCCCTACTTAGCTGATCAAAGTCAAAAACTAGACCTGGTGTTGAGCTACCAGTATCCATAGGATCTGATACGGTTGGAAGGATAATTTGTTCTAGTTCACACTTCTCTAATATTTCCTGCTTTTGCAGGATCAACTGTTCAATCTGTGCCTCCTGTAAAGACACTAAAGATTTTGTTGGCTATCTATAAATTATGCTTGTAAGTTACACAAGAGACAAGAATTATTGCCCATCTAACCTTGGAGTTTATCAGACGATTAAGTTTGGATATGTTTGTTGTGGCTGCAGAAGCCCTCTTCTTCCATTCTTGGATTTCCTTTTCACAATCTTCTGACTTTGATTTCCACTCTTCAAAAGTAGAAAGAAAACAAAGAAACAATAAGACTACCGAGGCAGAAAAAATAAAAAACAAATTGAAGTGATACACAACCAACCCTAAACCCTGATAACCAACCCTTCACCCCAATAACATCCCCCAACCCTAAAGAGGAAGGGAAAAAAAAAGAGCAAATCCAAAGAAATGCAATTAAATAATGTTGTGTCTATATCATAAAGAAAACACAAGTTGCGCCAAATATACCTTTAGCTTCTTCCTTAAACTGATTAATCTCTTCAGTAGCTTTCTCGGCTGCTTTCTTTGCTTCAGCCTCTTTATTCTGTACCCGTTTCAAATCATTCTCTAAAGAACTTAGAGAAGATTCCAGTTCTTGAATTCGTGAACTCACGTCCCGATTTTGCTCATATTCCAACCTGTAAATCGACCAATACAAAGGAATGAAAAACAGAAATAACACAGGTATATTGATTCACAAGGTTTCGAAATACAAACTCCAATATCCAGAAAATAACACAATACAGAAATAAATGAATTACAAGCTTAATAAAAGAATTAATAATAGAGCCGTTCGAGGAGCTCTGCAATCCTCCAAAAAGACTTCTGAATTTCCACTATGCTCCCATCAGAATGCACCACCTCTATTTAACAAGTTTCCATGCTAATTCCATTCGATCAGTTATCCACATCAGCACTCAACACTTGCCCATTTGCACCTGCTTTGGCTGTAAGAATATTCTCTTGTAACAAACTTAGTGCTGACTCAGCACTAAGTGGTAGTGATTTCCTGTATCTTTTCCTAGTGTACACTTTTAGGAAATGACTATGGTAATGATGCCATTTCTGGACTGCAAAAACTATGGCCATAAGCTCCTTTTCGTATACTGATTTAGTAAGTGCTATAGGGGAAAAAGCTTGACTGATATAAGCGATGGGTCTGTTTTCTTGCATCAGGACAGCAACCATCCCTTTCCCTGGAAGCATCAGTAACCACCATGCATGTCTTAGTAAAATTAGGGAAAGCCAAAACAGGAATTGTACACATTGCCTCCTTTAAAGCAGAAAAGGCAGTTTGCGCCTCAGCGTACCAACAAAACCTGTCCTTCTTGAGCAGTTCAGTGAGGGGCTGAGCTAATTTTCCATATCCTTCGACAAATTTCCTATAGCACCAATCCCAAAGTTCCACGCAACCCCTTTAAATCCTTGGGAACTGGCCATTCTTTCATTGCTTGAATTTTTTTAGGATCAGCATGAACCCCTTTTCAGAGATAATATGCCCCACATACTTCACTTGTGACCTCCCAAAGCAGCATTTTTTATTAGCTTTTAACTGATGCTGCCTTCGTGCTTTCAAACACCAGCCTTAGATGTTCAACATGAGAGATTCTGTCTTTAATAAAAATGAGGATGTCATCAAAAAATACCAAAGAAGAAATTTCCTCAGGTACGATTTGAGTACTTCGTTCATTAAGGATTGGAACGTGGAAGGGGCATTCGTTAATCCAAAAGGCATAACTACATATTCGTAGTGGCCTTCATGGGTTTTGTAAAGAACCTTGGGATACACCACCCCAAAAGCTAGCTCAAAGGGTGGGAGTGCCCAAGGCATTATAAACTCCACATTAGTTGCACATACAACCAATGTGGGACTATATATCTCAACACGCCCCCTCACACAAGAGCCCATTGGGCTTGAAGAGTGGAGATGCAACAGGCCCAGTCTACCTGTGCTAAGAAATTCCACAAGAGAAAATGAGGGACGGCGATGCTCTGATACCATGTAAAGAACCTTGGGATACCCCACCCCAAAAGCTAGCTCAAAGGGTGGGAGTGCCCAAGGCCTTATAAACTCCACATTAGTTGCACATACAACCAATGTGGGACTATATATCTCAACAGGTTCTAACAGCGGTTTTATCAATGTCAGCCTCCCTCATTAGGATCTGATTGAACCCAGATTTCAAATCCAGTTTAGAAAATAAGCTAGAGCCCTCTAACTCATCTAGCAATTCCTCGATAATGAGAATGGGAAATTTATCTGGTACTGTTAATTTATTGAGGGCCCTATAATTGACACAAACCCTCCAACTATCATCTTTCTTTTTCACTAAAATTGCTGGACTAGAATACGGACTATTGCTATGTCTAATCATGCCAAAATCTAACATCTCAAAAACTATTTTCTCAATTTCAACTTTCTGATAATGAGGATACTTGTAGGGGCGCAAATTTGGAATTTGGCTACCTAGCTTCAGATTAACTGCATGGTCCTAACGTCTCTTTGGAGGTAAATTGTTAAAGATATATAAAACCATAAATGTAGCTTCATCCAACAGCTTAAGCTTTTGGGTTGAATTGATTTTTTGCATGGTATCAGAGCCTCGATGTCACTGGTTTGATTCTCATTGCCCCCCATTTAATTAATAATTAATTAAGTCTTGTAGAGTTTCTTAGCACAAGTAGGTAGGCCTAATTAAGTCTTGTAGAGTTTCTTAGCACAAGTAGGTAGGCCTATGCATTGTCCACCATTTAAGCCTAATGGGCTCTCGTGTGAGGGGGCATCTTAGAGGATATATAAAACCATAAATGTAGCTTCATCCAACAATTTAAGCTTTTGGGTTGAAATGGTTCTTTACATAAATCAAAGGGTTTTTGAAACAGATCATCGAACTTAGCCAGCAACTGATTTAATTCTTCCCACTCAGAACCTGAAGCTGCATCTTCTTCTAAACGTGCAGGCATGGCCTCAACCAGAAAACCTTGTCCCTCTTCACTAAGAGCCTTCACCACGGACCTGAAAGAAGTCATGGTTCTAGACAAGGACACCTCGCCCCATAATAATACTTCCCTTCCTTCAAATAGGAACCGTAAAGTAAGCTCCCGGAAATTAGCTTGTATTTCCCCCATGCTACCTAACCAATCAAGCCCTAACACAATGTCCACACTTCCCAAGTCAAATAAAAATAAGTTTTCATGACTTCTACCTTCCTACATACGCCTCTGCAGTTGGAACGATGCCTATCTCCCACCTCTACTTGGAATATGGAAGTGTCTTCCACCTTCAAATTCAGCCTTAGTGCTAGATGATATTGTGGGATGCCCCATTATCAATAAGGATTATGACCTCTTACCCATTAATTTTCCCCCAAAGTTTGAAAATACAGCTAGAGGAAAGGCCTAACAAACTTTGCACCGACAATTGAAGAGCCATCCCCTCATTCCCTTGAGCTTCGTTACTTGCCCCCCACCCCCCCAAAAAAAAAACTATCTTCCAACGCCTCGTCAAGCGGACCACCTTCATCAACAAGGAGGAGATGAACCTAACGGGTGGCGCAACGGTGACCAGGGTTCCACTTAGCGTCGCATTTGAAACATACTCCTCTATTCATCTTATCTTGGATCTCCTCTTGCGTCAAGCGTCGACCTGTGTTCCTACCTCTGTCGTTCGTGGTGTTCACCGCCGTTGTTTGGTTGCTACCCACGAATTTGTGGAGTTAGAGTTAGTGACATCCTTTTGGTTTGTGATTCTGGAAACTTCATTGTTGACTAATCTTGGATTAGTGTTGACAGTCCATGTATTGCGACTATCATATCCAGAATTGGCCTTAACATTGGAGCGATTGGGTCCCGGTCCCATTTCCCCCCGTAATATCCCAATCCTTCAGTAGCCCATGCTAAATTTCTTCTCTCAATTTTTTGGGCCATATTCAGCATTTCTGGTAGGCTGAAATTTGGGCTCATCAATAATGCTTCCCTTATACAGTCTTTAAGCCCATTTAACCAAACCCCCCTAAGAGTCTCTTCATCGACATACCCAAGAATGCCAACCACTCGCTAAAAATTTCTTCTAAACTCAGCAACAGTACCAAGTTGTTTCATGATCAAAAGCTCACTTTGAGGGTTGTCCAACAAATCAGGCTGAAAGCGAGCTATGATGTCCATTCGAAAATCAGCCCTAGTCACCCTTGTTGCCGTTTGAGACCACCAATGGTACCAATCTAGAGCTTCACCTTCAAGAACCACCATGACTACTGGAATCTTCTCATGATCAGTGATGCCATTGATGTAGAAATAATGCTCGACGCATGTCAACCAACCATGGGGACCTTCTCCAAAGAACACTGGGAGCTCAAGCTTTCTCCCAGGTACCTCATGATTGTGGTTCTCAACATATGTTCCTCCGTCTGTCTCCTCCGAATCGCAAAGTCTCCTCCTTGATCTCCCCCTCCGAGAACGACACTAGTTACTGCATCTGGTTGCGACTGTCATAAAGGCATCAAGTCGTCTCAATATTCCAGCATGGTTCTCTTCTGTCCGCCTCAGGCGTTCTTCAATCCACTCAAATCTTTCCTCCATTCTCCTAGTAATAACCATACACAATTCCAATTTCGGATCTATGCTTTGATACCAGTTGATAGAATCAACCAATACCAAGGAATGAAAAACAGAAATAACACTGATATATTGATTCACAAGGTTTTGAAATACAAACTCCAATATCTAGAAAATGACACAATACAGAAATAAATGAATTACAAGCTTAATAAAAGAACTAATAACAGAGCCGTTCGATGAGCTCTGCAATCCTCCCAACAGACTTCTCCACTCCATCCTAAGACAAACTGAACACCAATCTATTTCCCATTCAAAGAATAATTTAGGTAAAAAGGGAAGAAGGAACATACTGATATTTTAATTTTGAAAGTTGGCTACTCAGGTTCAACCTCTCCTCTGCCACATTTTGAGCAACCTTTAGTTGGTTTTCTTCATACTCACGTATGTTTGAAACTCCGACTGACTGACTAAAGTCTTTGTATATCCGATCAGTGATTACATTTATCCTATTCTCCAGCCTAAGTATTTCTCCATTCCTCTTGTCAACAGCATCATTTAACTGCAGAGTGTAAACACCAAGTACCCAGTTAGGTAAACAAGAATACTGCTAACACTAAACAAAGAAATTGCCAATGTCACCTTTTGGAGTTCTGGACTGATACGTTCAATTTCTTCTCTGATGGTCTCTTTTTCTTGGTTCAAATTTGAAAGTTTGTCTTCAATGCTTCGCTGGCAAAAGTTAAAAGCACAAAGAACATGTTAGGCAATCCTAGACCACATGGGACTTATGAATACCATATCAACTATCAAGTCATAGATTCATTAGTCCTTTCCCTACAATGTGGAATTATTTGACGCTCCATCCCTTCGTGAATAAGCATATAACTTATAACCATATGCACACAGAGAGGGAGAGATTGTGCCAGAATACAGAGACATAATAGACATAATTTCCATTGCAAAATAAGTTTTTATAATTATTTCTGACATCTAGATGCACAAAGAAATTATCATAACTTCAAACATCCAAACCTTAAATGAAGTCAGCTCGCCTTTGATTGGTGCATGTTTTCATAAATAAACAAAAAACCATGCAATTCTAACTCTTACTTAAACTCACTATTTTTTTGCCTTGTCATTTATGATCCTATGAGTCAATTACAGTCCTAAAGTTAATTAGAATCATAACAATTTGTAATGTTAACAGCAGAATGTATCTATCAACATACAAATAAGAATGAAAAGATGAAGTTCTCTGTAATACGTTTACTGGAATTGGGGATAAAAGAAATAAAACGATGGTTACAACTAGAGCAATTCGAGAGTGCTCTATTCTCTCCTTCTACTCACTCCTCACTTACTAACTGACTGCCCTTTTTCTCTCACTCATACTCATATAACAACTTCCATTTACCCACACGCGTACTACACCCTTCCTTACCATAACTACCAATTCTTATCATAATTCCCTACCCCACATCAGTTGCCACATCATCCACAATAGCTTCTGCCACGTCAGCCAGAGATCCTCTACTAGCACGCCTACGATATACCTTCATTGGCTTTGTTACAATACTCCCCCCAAATCTTTCACCTTGTCCTCAAGGTGAAATTCGGGAAAACGCCGCACAATGAAAGAAGCTAACTCCCAAGAATTTTCAAAATCAGGTAAATTATGCCATTGAATCAACACCTCAGTGAACCCTTGAGAATTGAGACGCCAGTGCAGCACCTTGAGTGGCTGAACCACTAATTCCCACGAATCAGTCAGCATAGGAGGCAAGGGTTGCACCAATGTGGAAGGCTGGACAGCACCCTTAAGCAAGGACACATGAAAAACAGGATGGACTTTGGATTCCCTAGGCAAATCTAATTTGTACGCAGCAGCCCCAATGCGTTCAACCACCTTGTACGGACCATAAAAACGGGGGCTAAGCTTCTCATTGAGTCTCGTTGCTAAGGACTTCAACCGATATGGCTGCAACTTTAAAAATACCCAGTCACCAGCTTGAAAAATCGCATCGCGACGTTTGACATCAGCATACTGTTTAAAACGACACTGAGCCTGTGCCAAATTGTGGTGCAAATCTTGCAAAATCACATCTCGCTCCTGAAGCAATTTCTCCACAGCATCCAAACGTGAAGGATGATTGCCACTGCGAAGAAGAGTAGGAGCATCCCTACCATATAAGGCCTTAAACGGAGTCATTCCAGCAGATTCATGGTAGTTAGTGTTAAACCAAAATTCCGCCCAATGTAACCAAAGCATCCATTGTTTGGGTCGCGGATGGCAAAAGCAACGAAGGTAAGTTTCCACACACTTATTCATAACCTCTGTCTGACCATTGGATTGCGGATAATACGCGGAAGAGAACTTCAAAGACGTTCCAGCCTTGCGAAACAACTCTCCCCAAAAAGAACTCATGAACAATCAGAGACAATGGATAAAGGAAACCCATGCAAACGCACAATTTCCTTAATGAACAGATTGGCTACCTACTTTGCAGAAAATGGGTGTTTCAGAGCCAAGAAATGAGAGTACTTTGTGAACCGATCAATAACCACCAAGATAGTGTCAAACCCATTAGAAATAGGAAGGCCCCCTATAAAATCCATAGCAATGTCATTCCAAACCTGTGAAGGAATGGGAAGTGGCTGTAATAATCCAGCAGGAGCCAATGTGGAATGCTTGTTGCGTTGACAAATCACACAAGCTGCCACATACGCGTGGATATCCTTGCGCATGCCTTCCCAAAAAACACAATTACTGATGCGCTTGTAAGTCTTATTAAACCCGGAATGCCCTCCAACCACCGAGTCATGAAATTCCTTGAGAATTTTAGGAATCCAAACAGACAACTTAGCCAATACCAAACGGTTTTTATAAAACAGCCGTCCACCTTGCAAAACAAAACCCTCATGAGCCGAAGGGTCAACTAATAACTCTTGAATCACCTTATGAAATCGTGCATCTTGTTGAAGTTCAGTCTGGATTACCTCCCAGCCATCAAACTGCATCTGAGTCATAGCATTAAAACACATTTGTCTAGACAAAGCATCAGCCACAGTGTTTTCCTTACCTGGACGAAACAGAATAGTGAAATCAAAGCCAAATAACTTAGAAACCCACTTTTGTTGATCTTCAGACAGCAACCGTTGGTCAATCAAAAAACACAAGCTTCTTTGATCAGTTCGGATAGTGAAATGACGTCCCATTAGATAATGACGCCATTTATTCACCGCAAAAACAATCGCCATGAGTTCCTTTTCATACACAGACTTAACCAAAGCCCGTTCACTAAATCCACGGCTGAGGAACGCAATAGGCCGATCCTTTTGTAACAACACAGCCCCTACCCCCCTGCCTGACGCATCAGTCTCTACTATAAACTCGTGAGAAAAATCCGGTAAAGCCAAGACTGGAACCGTGGTCATAGCAATTTTCAGCAATTCAAACGAGACTTGTGCCTCCTCATTCCACAAGAACCCATCCTTTTTAAGCAAGGCAGTCAGAGGGCGAGCAATCTTCCCATAATCCTTGACAAACTTGCGGTAGTAACCTGTCAAGCCAAGGAACCCACGTAATCCTTTGACATTACGTGGAACAGGACAATCCATCATAGCTGAAATCTTAGCAGGATCAACCATCACCCCAGCTGTAGTTACTATATGCCCCAAGTACTCGATCTGAGAACGCCCAAATTCACACTTCTTGCGGTTCAGAAAGAGACTATGGTCCTTCATCACTTGAAGAATATCTCGCAAATGGCCAAGATGTGCTTCGGAATCCTTACTGTAAATAAGGATATCATCAAAGAAAACCAAAGCACATTTGCGTAAAAAAGGACGTAATACCTCATTCATGAGAGCCTGGAACGTGGACGGACCATTACACACACCAAAAGGCATCACAAGATATTCGTAATGCCCTTCGTGAGTCCTGAAAGCCGTCTTGGGAATGTCCTCTTCACGCATACGAATCTGATGATAGCCAGACTTAAGATCCAACTTGGAAAATATACAGGCCCCGCCAATTTCATCCAACAACTCATCAATGGCTGGAATCGGGAACTTGTTGGGGACTGTGATTTTATTCAAAACCCTGTAATCGACGCACACACGCCAGCTTCCATCCTTCTTCTTGATGAGAATCACAAGACATGAGTAGGGGCTGGTACTTGGCCGTATATGACCCATAGCTAATAATTCCCCAACTAATTTCTCAATTTCATTCTTCTGGTGGTGTGGGTATTTGTAGGGCCGAATATTGGGAATGGGATTACCAGGGAGTAATTCGATGGCATGATCATGAGAACGGGGAGGAGGCAATCCGGCAGGAACCCGAAACACGGTGTCAAATTCCACCAGTAGATTAGCGAATGCTTCTTCCAACCATTGGGCATGAACTTCTTCTCCATTGTCAACTCGTCCTGCAGGTTGAGGAGCGATGACAAATCCTTCATCAGCAGACTCCAACGTTTTCAGCATGGACTTTAAAGATACGACCGATTTTGATAAGGTTGGGTCCCCTTGTACCAACACCTCACTACCCCCATAGTCAAATCGCAAGGTTAGTTCTCTGAAATTGGCCTTCACTTCTCCCAACATCTTAAGCCAATCCAAACCCAAAACAACATCCACACCACTCAAATCAAAAAGGAACAAATCCAACTTGATGTCCACCCCTTGAATGTGAACCTCAACATCTTTACACACTCCCTGACACTGCACCTTGTGTCCGTCGCCGACTTCCACAACATATTGGGGTGTTGAACTCACGGACAACCCTGTGACGCGAGCAACCTTAGGACTGATGAAGTTACTTGAGGCTCCACAATCAATCAAGACCACCACTTGTTGCTGTGCGATGCGGCCCCATAGCTTGAGAGCTTGGTTCGATGTCAATCCCATGATACTATGCATGGAAAGGTGGAACTCCTTATCAACAGCCCCCTCCAACTGTTCCGAAACCAATAACCCACCTCCGTCATCCTCTCCGTCTTCCTCCTCAATCAAAAGAAGATGGAATTGCTTGTTGTTTTTGCACCTATGGCCCCTTACGAATTTCTCTTGGCAATAAAAGCATTCTCCTTTTGCCATCTTCTCTTGCCACTCTTCATTGGAAAGCCTTCGTGAGTTTGATTTCCCTGAACTCGCGACACTCTCACCCATGCGATGAGGGCTCATATTCTGATTTTGAGATAAGGCTGACCCTTGAGTGGTTCGCACAGGGACGCGTGTCCCTTGCGTACCGACAGCTGGTTTATTTTCAATGTTACGAATAGGGTAACTCGTTTGGGCCTTACTAATGAAATTCGATTGGGCCTTAGTACTGCTCCAGTGATTTGCTCGCCCAATAGAATAGACTTCATTTCTTTCTTCCACGAATTGGGCCAAGTCTATCAACTCAGACAAAGCCATGTCTCGCCCCCTGATGTTTAACTCCACAACTATCTCATCTTTCAGCCCATTTAACCAAATATCACGAAGCATATTAACATCAGCATAGCCCAATGGCCCAGCCACCCTTTCAAACTCTTCCCTGTACTCCTTCACACTGCCATCTTGCATAGCCCAAGTAGCTCCAGGATTTTGACTCTCCCACCACTGAAACCAATGGAGAGCCTTACCCTCCAAAACGATCAAAACCGACGACAATTTCTCCGCCTCTGTGATTCCATTAATGGTGAAATAACGTTCGGCTCGATGGATCCAACCAAAAGCATCTTCCCCATCAAATAACGGTAACTCCAATTTCCGCACAGAATTGTCGTTGTTGCCCGTATTTCCCCCAACGATCCCTCCGTCCGCGCTGCCAGTGCCGCCTCCGTTCGGACCACCAGCTCCGGTTGAGCCTCCATTACCAGTTGGACCGCCATTCGTTCCATTGGATTCTCCATTGGAACCTCCTACTCCCCCATTATCACCGTTTAGACCGCGATCCAGAATCATTCCATTAATAATCCGTCGCAGATCTTCTTGTACCGATTCAGATTGACGAAAACGGAGTTCGATTCCTTCCTCGAAACGTCGCGAACGTTCTTCGCTGTTAGTGAACCATAGAGAAAGCTTTTCCTCCAACGTCGACAAACGATTTTCCATATTCCTCGTCAATACCATATAATGCTCCCAGAATCGGAAGCTTTGATACCAATTGTAATGTTAACAGCAGAATGTATCTATCAACATACAAATAAGAATGAAAAGATGAAGTTCTCTGTAATACGTTTACTGGAATTGGGGATAAAAGAAATAAAACGATGGTTACAACTAGAGCAATTCGAGAGTGCTCTATTATTCTCTCCTTCTACTCACTCCTCACTTACTAACTGACTGCCCTTTTTCTCTCACTCATACTCATATAACAACTTCCATTTACCCACACGCGTACTACACCCTTCCTTACCATAACTACCAATTCTTATCATAATTCCCTACCCCACATCAATTGCCACATCATCCACAATAGCTTCTGCCACGTCAGCCAGAGATCCTCTACTAGCACGCCTACGATATACCTTCATTGGCTTTGTTACACAATTCATCATCTAAACAATTTAGATAAGTATCTAACGGTCTCAATAGATTTGTCAATACAATTATATACAAACAGGCAGCGCATCAAATTGGCTTATGAACCCAACAAAAAAAATAAGACCACAGTTAGATTTCTCATGCTCACAGACTACAGTCTCATCTTCTACTTACTTCCTAATAACTAATGCTGAAATTTTTAAAGCCTTTATTAATTAATTTCCAAATTTAAAACGCTGACAAAATTTACAGAGCTTGTGCTACTACAGTTTGGATGCACTTTGCATCCTCAACGAATATACTACCAAATAAGTCCTATACACTCTGCTTTATTTGGTCATTTTGTTATTATAATTTAACTACAAACCATTCCACTAAGCAATGTTGCAAATTAGTTCACCCAAGATCCATGTGGGTCTAATGAGAACCAAAGGTCTCAACAGGTGTAAGCTCCTCAAGAGTTTAACTAAAAACATTTCCAAGCAGGAAAGGCTTGAACCCATACAAAATTCAGGAAATTGACAATATTTTGTTACCCAAAGAATTCATATTTATCTTTCCTAACAAAGGCAAGGTTGTGGGTCATAAATTTAATCAATGGTTAACTTTGTTTTTATCCGTGAAAATATTCAACATTTTAAGCATCCAAGATGATTTTTTAATAAAAAGCATCCAAGATGATTTATTAATTCCTTGGTTTGCTCCACTTTATATACTTATCAAGAGCATAAGAACAGTTCCATATATAGGCTGTTTGGATAAATTGCTTAAGTAAGTACTTATTCGACTACCCTTATAATTGCAATCTAAAATAAGCAGAATAAAATTTTGATAGTTACTTTAAAAGTGCTTATGCAGAAATGAAATTTTCACAATTCATTAAAATTAATTTAGTCAGAAATTATTATAAAAAGAGCTACCACCTAAGCTGCTTTTTAGCTTTCACAACAGTTTTGTTTTTCATAAGCTTTAAATTCTAGCTTAAGAAAATAAGACTCAAACAACTTATCAATGTTTCAAAATCTCTTTTGATAAACTGGTTCAAACAAGACCAATAAGTGTTTGTTGCAGTAGATAAGCATAACAATAAGCTCTTCTAAACAGGGCCAAATATGCCACACAAACCACATTATCAACTGATTGTGAATACATACATGGCAAGCACATCAACAAATACCAGGGACAGAGAAAAAGAGAAATGAGACTACAACAATAAAATGAAATAAGAATTGCATGCCTGATTGTACCACAACAATTAAAACTTCAAAGATTTGCAGCTTTCTGGTCAGATCAACTGATAATTTGATTATTACCAAGAAAAAAAAAAGGTAAAATCATCGGTTTACCTTCTCAATCTCAGCATATTGAATTTTCTTCTCAAGCCCACTAATTTTTCCAGATGCTTCAGACTCTTTAAGGTGCATATCTCTTATTGATCCTAGCTCTTCCAACTCCGATTCATACTGCTCTTTCTTTTTATTAAGTCCTATAAAACATGTTTAATGCAAGAGTAAAAGCTTTGAATCAAATTAAAAAAAAAAACTGATGAAAAAATTGATAAAAACCTTCAATTTTCTTGTCATCCCACTGTTTTGACCTTGCTTCCATTCCCCCACTAGTGCCACCAGTCATTGTACCGGATTTTGTCAGCAGAATTCCATCCACAGTAACAACTAACCAAATTACATAAGACAATGTTTACTATTTTATACTCTGACAAGTATGACTGAGTTAAAGGCACCGGGAAATGGGAATACATCATATTCATAATAATACACAGTAGGATTCTCCAGAAGCAAAAAGATTTGTTAGATAAGCAACAACAAAAAAAAAAAAACTCAGTGTAAAGATCATAGTGTTCAGTACAAGTTATAAACTGAGTGCCCAAAAAGAAAGGATAACAAGAAACCAGAGGGGAAAAACATATAGGGGATTAAAAAGTTACCTTTAAACCTCTCACCACTCCAGCTCAAAACTTTTGCCTCCTCAAGATCATCACAGACAAGAGTATTCCCCACAGCAAAGAGAATTGCCTTCTCCAAGGAGGGATCAAACTTGCACTAGTTAAGTTGAAAAGCTTAAAGCACTTTTAAGTTCATTGGAGGCATGTGATTCAGTGATTAACAAAAAGCATGAGCATAAATCAAAACTTCATGATGAAGTATTCATATAGAGGGGAAGAAGAGAAAATACAAGAATGAGTTATGCTCAATGCTTAATAGACCACCTAGTTAAAATCATAGAATGTGTATTCTGTCTTGAATTCATAAAATTGACATAAGGCACAGAACATACATAATGAAAGGAGACCGCAGAACAAAATCTGTCACATCTGAAAAAACTATATATCCAATTAAGGAGGATTCTATTTTAGAGAGATACTTGAAACAGCACCGATAACAAAAGCTAAAACATAATGCAATAAACTACAAGATTGGTGAGAACAATGTGCAATGGTAAAATGTTTGAGCTTAACAAAAAAATTGAGACCAACAGACTTTGATATTGTTAAGATGACTGCAGTTCTACACATCACAATGACAGACACAATAACTCCACCCACAGAAACAGCCATTTATATGCTTTAATTTTCTAAAGGAGATTACTGATTACACATTCCTCTAGAATTTTAAAAATACTATTTACATGCAGCAGGAAGCATGTAACATAGTTGTTAATCCCAAATAGCGGCACAGCGGCCAACCTCAAAAACACAATAGCGGGATGGTGGATAGCAAGATGACTGATATACTGAAGATTATGAATACAAGATAAATAATTTATAGTTCACACATAAATGCACACAAAAAAATAATAAACCCAGAATTAAAGACATATTCATCATTAATAATCAAAAGTCATACTATAGACACGCAATCACTATCAATCTAAAGCATAATTAACAAGTCAATAACAACGGTAGTTAAGGAGAACAAGAGGAAAAAAAAGGAATACACAGAGGAATGAAGTCAAAAAAGGAAGATAGTATAATTAATAGGAAAAAAAAACTGAAATAAGAATGAACTCATGGGATCAAAATTCGTGGGCTGTAAACTGTGAAGTGCAAAGTACAAAATACAGCCCAAAGAGAGAGAGAGAGAACAGAGACAGATGCGTGCATGAATCAGATCTGTGACAAAGGAAAGAGCAGAGAAGAAGTTATGTTGGAACCAAACCAACAGAGAACATGTGTGAATTAATAGAGGGCAAACAGCAATCAGTAAGTTGCCAGAAGTTCAAAACAGAGGTGGGGCAGTGGTTTTTCAACGAAGGGATGTGATACAAAGAGGGCTAAAGTAGGCTTTTTATTCACCGGACCAACATTAGAACAAATTCAAATCACAAAAATTTGAAGCTCTTGTAAAAACTTTTGCAACCAGATTCTTCAAAGCAGTGACAAGTGAAAGGATATTGAATCACATCAAAAATCAGTTTTGCTGTACCCCCTAATGTGCGCAATCTTTCTATTATTGGCTTCACGCGAACTGACTGCAGAGGAATAAACGTCTGGGGAGGAAGCCTCTGATCTTTCAAATACTGTAAAGAAGCAAAGAGATCAATGCTCCAATCAATGCATACAACAAACAAAGCCGATCATAGAACTTCAAGGTTCAAACAGGCAAAATTGCACATTTTATACCAAAATTCTAGTTTTCAGCAATTATAACAAACTTATCAATGAAACCAAAGAAGTAGGAAGTGAAGTAACATATAGGAAGCAATAGTTCTTCTGATAATTTTACACAATTTTTCTGTTGTAATGCAACCAAAGAGTTGTATCAAAATAAAACATAAATTCCACTGGAAAGACAGAAGCAGCAACTTACAGGTAACTATTCTAGTAGCTATAGATGAAAAGGCAATAAAATGTAGGTCCATCAGCTTGAAGGCACCAAGCTAGCTTAATTTTTGGGCTTAATTTCACAAGGTTTATGTAGCACGTGACACTATGCTATTTCTGAAGTCCATGATAAATTGATATCAATAATTTTTTCTGAGCTGAAGTAGTGTTCCCATACATATACATCAGCATAGTAATTAATGCTGCTTTAAACCCCAAGGGTAGCTCAGTTGGCAACTAAGTGCCCAAGGATTTGCTTTGGTCAGGAGTTCAAACCTTGGCCAAAGCAAATTCTTGGAATTCTTTGGATGCCAAAGGGAAACCACCTCCCCCTCGAAAGGGATTAGTCTCACCCTTCCTCCGGTGACAGTGGTCCAATGCACTCTCTGTTTCAATGAAGAGCTAACCTTAAGGGCCATACTCCGAGGATAAGGTGGTTTGAGGAGGTTGTGTGGGGATCTCCAGGTAATCTACCAAAAAAAAAATACTGCTTTGGCTTCTTTCGTTTTTTTCTAAATATACATACCCCTTCTTGGGCAATATTATAATGAGCCATTTTCTTAAATATAATAATAGGCAGAAATTCACTAGAACATAAAAAACTTAGCAATGTAATAATAATGTGGTACGCAATACAGTAAGCATAAAACATATTATCGCATATAATATAATAATATTTTTATTTAATGCATATTGCATTGCAAAAATTTTATGTTCTAGAGCATTTTTTCCTATTACTATATTTAAGAAAATGGCTCATTATTATATTGCCCTATCTATGCAGTTTTTTTGGTTTAATCACTTTGTGTAATCACCAATACCAGAGGCAGAGACAAAAAAGGTATTCAAATCAAAAGCAACAAAAAGACTTCAACAGAAAATAAAAACTAAGCTCTGAAAGATGACTTTGTAACCATAAAATAATAAAAAAAGAAACAAAAATGGCACAAAACAGAAAATTAGGAAATCTCATTAGCACCTTGATGCATTCCTTTCCAGTCTTTTCATCTTCAACTACGACTGCATCCATAAATCTACCCATGGCAACAGTGACAGCTAGGTTAAACTTTTTCTGGGTTGGCCTACAAAGATCAGTCATGCGACCATGAACTCCTTGAAACAGGCGTTTCAGAGTCTCCACAGCCTGAGACAGCCTAGCATCTCTCTCGTTGTCATATCTATCAGCCTTCAATTCACGTAGTTGATTTTCTATTTCGCCAATTTTTAACTTCAAATTTTCATATTTTTTCCTGCAGATCAAAAGTAGCACACAACATTTTACAAGTATCCTCAGCTAAGTACTTTAAAATGCAGGGGGATGCTTTAACCAATTAAAAAAAAAAAACCTATACAAGTTAATTTACTTGGAATCACGATGTTTGTCCTGCATCACACGCAGTTCTTTTTTCAAGTTTGCAAGGCCATCCTTATTTTTCGCAGAATTATCAATAATTTTTTTCAGCCTTGCCCGCATCTGTTCTTCCTGTGAATTCAGTTCAGACTCTCTGTTTCTTAACTGTTGAAGATTTTCTTCCAAATTCTTTTGAGCTTCACTATCAGCATGCTGCTGCCTATCCAGAAGCTCTTTTTCCCCTCTAAGCTTTGCAGTTTTCGTCCCAGCTTCCTCCTTACTGTAATAGCAACATAATCATCACAAGTTCAAAAACAGAAAAAATTAATAATAAATGAAATACCAAGTACTGACAGAAAAGTATTTTTTTACTTCCTCGGGTAGAGAGAAATGGGCTGCAAGAATACTGTTTTGGTGGAAATCAGTGCCAATTTATGTAAAAAATAATAATAATAATAATAATAAAAGGTTGCTTGTCAGGAGGTTCCAATGGAAAAGGCATGGCTAACTTCCTAATGACAGGCAGTTGACCACAGAATGAAATACCATATCAAGGCAACACTATCTGCACATTTGTGCCTGATATTAGTTGTTGAGGCTCTGAAAAAGGACTCTATGTTTGAATTGGACCAACTTATTTACTTGAATTGAGATGATTATGTCCCGAAATCACCTATCCAAAACACACTTGGTAAATAAATTGTTAATGGGCTACTTGTTTATCATTTCAGTGATTCATGACCCAAAGCTCAAAGTTCAGAAGCAGCAACCATGGTCCAAGGGCAAAACAAGAAAAACAAAAAGAAGTAAGGGCAGATCTGGAAAGGGAAAAGAAAAAAATAGAAAAGTTAAAGAAAAGAGGGAGAAGCCCTCAATTCATCAGCAGTTGCCTTCAGTCACAAACCTTAGTCACTTCCTTTCTTGCGCATCCCGCAAAAACTCTCTCATCTCTTTTGACATCAACATTTCCCCGGACCCATTATCTTGTCAAACCCCATCATCCTTCAAAAAAAACCAAAACCCTAGCACTTTTTATCCCTGTACCATAACCCACAAAAATCCCAAAAATTTCCCAGACCAACTTACTCACCACTTTGCCTAATCAACCTAAAAGGACTCCCCAAACTCCCAATCATTACAATCTGAAAAGCAAAGAAGGACAAGAGGAGGATTGTGTGACCAAGGGAATCTCGCGGGCGTGTGGTTCGATGGTCCAAGAAAGGGTCGTGCAAATTTGGAGATCTTGCACGTTTGAGCATATCTGGAGATTCAAGGAGGGAAAGCGACGATCGTGCGAAGGAGTAGTGCTGAACATGTAAGGGAATTGGGAACAAGTCACCCATGCAAGGAGGGAGAGATATGAAAAAAGGATTCGAGGATAAAGGCTGGATATATCTCTTCCTTGTTTTTCAAAATATTTTGTGGGTGGTAGTTCTTGGTTCTCTTATTTTTCTATTCCTGGACACAGTTTTAGGTTCTGATATTCTAACAGAATGCATCTTAAGGTGTAACTTCTGGGTTGTTTTTACTTTGTTTCAACAAGTTTTCTTGCTGTTTTCATTTTCGAAATTGTCTTTGTATGCTTATAACCCTATGGGTATGAGCTAAGACTGTGTAGGAGTGGGGAAGACTGAGTACCCAACTCTCCTGTTATTGGAATGTTGTTAACCAGTTTGCTTGTAAGTAGGGTTTCAGAGCATGTTTGTTTGTTTTCTGGCCAAAAAGCATTCAATTAATTTTAAGTGTGATTTGTTGAGAAACGGAAATCACCGAAATTAACTTCAAGCATGTGGACATTGAATAAGAAATTATTCAGTGGATGAAGCTCCAGGAATGAAGTTCATCTCCCTACAACCCATGAGATGGCATTTCAGAGTTCTTAAGAGTTATGGTTTTCAGAGATATGCAAATTGTAAGGCTGGGATTAAAATGCTGTTTGTAAAGAAACAATAGCTACATATTCTCTGGTTGAACTAAATTGTTGATTAAGCAACACTTGTTTTCCATGCATTCTAATTTCAAGAGGCGTAGGAGAAAAAGTTAAGCTCTTCTATTCCTAATTTTAACCAAACCATTTTAGAATTTTCATCAATCAACTTTTATTTTCTTTAACACTCTGCATCAGTTTATTTTTCAATCAGAAAATCAGTTTAAACATCCAAAAATCATTTTCTGCTTCAGCATTCTTAATTTTATTTTTTAATTTTCCTTTTTAGCAAATGCAAATCCAAGTAATAGAAACAACGCCATGATCTCTGTGGGAGGATATTAGGGTCTTAAAAATATACCCTATACTACTTGTAGACGTGTATACTTCCATGATTCTTGCATAAAAGTTAGCAAAGCAACATTAATGAAAATCACAAATCAATAGATGTTCCAACTACAGGCCAATGACACTTGTTTTCATTTTCCTTTTCATTTTGACATTACCCAACTGATGCACAATTTACCCACAAGAAACAAAAGGAATTTCCTTCAACATAAAAGGTGAAAACAATATACAGGATTGATGAAATACTTTTACCTAATATCCCTAACAATCTCGCCAGCATTACCAATTAGCGTAAGTACACAGCAACAAGTGGTAGACAAGATTTTAAGTGCAACCAAAACTCAGTAAGATTTAAGTTTACTCCAAACACAAAGCAATTATTTGTATAAGAAAAGAAGAAAATATAGGCTGGTGGCAAACAGCTAAAGCAAATAAACACTCACATTCGAAAATATTCTTCCAAGTCATTGCCATCTAACTTAAGTTGATTGCCAACAACTCGACCCTTTTCCTGTATGTCTACCACTTTTGCTGTGAGGTCCTGAATGCCCCTCTGTAGCTCCGCTATATCAGCAGCATGTCTCCTCCGCTCTTCTCTTTTTTTATCAAGCTCCTTCTTCCCTTTTTTAATTTTCGAATTGATACGAGTCATTTCCTCCTTTAACTTCAGAAGCTCAGGTTGCTGCAAGGTGAGAAACCCAGAGAAACAATTTCATAAACTACTCAGAGCATTAAGAACATAACAAATACAATCAACAAAAGGAACAAAACTTAAAAAAACATAGCAAGATGATTATCAGGTACTCCTAGCTCTTTATTTCGTTTTTGTGGCTGCAGGAATTTGGCATTGCTAGTTCAGAGAGGGAGGATTCAAACTGGGATACTGAGGTGCCACTAATGCTATTGCCAGAATAACAAACCATTTTCCATACCTGGAGACTACAATTTTCAACCCAGTTTTCTTCTCATTAAATACGACCAAAAGCAACAAAGTTAAATAGTAAATAATAGAACCAACCTATGCAAAAAATTGAATGGCTGGAGATAATAATAAAGTGATGACAATGAACTTAACTGATAGTCCTCCCACCCCACCCCAAGTGTAAAAAAATACTCACACTCTTATCAAGTTTGTTGCTTTTCTCAGCAATTCTCTTTTCACGTTGTGTAATCTCTTTCAGATATCTGGCCTGCTCTTTTTTCTTTTTACTAGCTTCATGTTCAAAATTTTCTAGTTCTTCAATAACACCTTCACGACTTTTTTTCTCATCTTCAAGGTCCTCAGTTGTTTTAACAAAATCATTTTCTATATTGAACAACTGCCACAAGAAATGTTCTTTCTTCAAAGATTTCTGCAAGAAAAAAAAAATCAGATATTTGAGAACTTCACCATAAGCTGTCTGTTCAAGATCAAGAGAGAAAATGTATGAAATAATGACAGTTGCACATTTAACTACTAGTTGAAATATTAAGCAGAAAATGCTGTCCAACAAAGTAATCCTATCTTTTATTTTGTTGGAAGTAAATAATATCTGCAGATACTTGACCGAACATGCTGTAGCAGTGTAGCTGTGCCACTAAATCCAACTATTGCAGGGGTTGTGAAAACCCTCTGCTAGAAAGCTTATTTATTAAAGAAATTATAAGCCATGCAAAAGCATGACTCAGACTCACTATAAATTTATGCTGTTCCAAAGAAGGGGGAACAGAAACGGGGGACACACAGAAATAGTAGTCACTGGAAGTGGCACCTTCAATTTGTTGGTAGCATTTGGAGTTTGGATTTTCAAGACAGAGATCCACTTTTAATCTACAATCTCTATTAAATACCAAACCAGTTCAATGTAAAAGCTGCAAGGGTGAAGCATCTGGATTTGCTTCGGTGGAACAGAGGTTGAAAGAAACCCATTGATGTTCCTCATGCCAAAAGCATGAAGGGTGAAAATAGAGAAATCAAAAGAGCAGTGATGCTGTAAAAGCATTGAGATAAGGAGGGTGACAGGAAAGCTGAAGGCAAACTGTCAGCTTTGGGTGATTGTTAGAAGTTAACAATTGCAAGCGACTAGGAGAGTTGATAAGGTTATTTTGATAGAGGAACAGACCCAAAAAAGTGAAAATTAATATTTAAAAAAAAAAAAAAAAAAAAGTGGCAGACAAAAAAGAAACATGCAATAGCGATTGAGTAAAAAATTAGATGGAATTGAAACGGGGGACTTCCATGGGCAATAGAGGCAGTCCCTTCATGAAGATATAATTTCTAGAACTGAAAGGGCTTGATCATGCTTTCCTTCAAAATGTCTTTCTTTTTATTAATAGTGATACCACCCTGTCTTCATCCAATTAGGCATATAGCCAAAGAGAGGAAAATGAAACAAAATGTTTAGGCATATATGAAACAGAGGGAACTACATCAAGTCACAAGTTAAAACAGGCCAATTGGAACCTTGGGCATCATACACACATGAATTGCATACAACCAGAAAGGCGGAAACTACCTTTATATGGAAGATAGATATATATAAATAGATATTGTTACCAGCTGATCCTGCAGGCGGAGATGTTTCTCTGCTTCTTCCTTTTGTTCTTTCTTCTGCTTTCTCTCCATAACTACTGCCTTCTTCTTCTGATAAACAAACGCTGATTTTTCTTCAGCCTCAGCTTTTTCTTCTTCAAATTGCTCATAGTCCCTCTTGAGCTCATCGGAGCCAGATATCTGCTCAAGAAGCGCAGTGAGCTCTTTTGGATTTTTGGACGCAATGGATTCCACATCACCCTACATAAGCAAGTCATTAGCATCATTAAGAGCTAGAAAAAAAAAATGGAGAGTTCAGGAACAAACCTGAAACACTAAGAAATTGCGAGCCTTGACAAGAATCCCAAGGGACTTAAGCTTGGCATTGTAGACATCCCAGGTGACAAGGTTACCGTCGATACGGTACTCGCTGGCGCCGGCGCTGGTGATGGTCCTGGTGAATTGGATCTCGGAACCGCTGGCGAGTTGGTAAACCAAACGAACGAAGGCCCTGCGCCCCTTCTGCTCCTTCTCCCTGTCATCAAAGGCGTAGATCAAGTCCTTCAGTTGCGCGCCGCGAAGCTGGCCGGTCCTGACGCCGAGCACGAAGCTTATGGCGTCCATGAGGTTCGACTTGCCGGCACCGTTGGGGCCAATGATCGCCGTGAAGTCGTAGAAGGGACCAATCACTTGGAACCCCTTGTACGACTTGAAATTCTCCATCTCCAACCGATGGATTTTACCCGGAGATAGTAGCGACGGCATGATTTTGCTTAGCTTTGGTTTCGTGTTCAGAATATAAGAAACCCTAAATTGAGGGAAGTATTAGGGTTTGGGAACTGAAAGGAGGAGAGAAATTTTGGCGGGAGGGGATTGAGGAGAGAGAGAGAGAGAACGTTGCGGTTACGTTAGTCGTGAACTTGATGCAAGTGCCAAGTAGGGAGTGGCAGCAAGCATGATTCTATTTCTAGCACTGGACACAGTGAAGCGTAACCCCTGCTAGGAATCTTCGGCTTTCAAGTGCGTTTCTCCATCCGTTTAACTACACTTCCTTTCAAAAATCTACGAACCGCTTTTTTTTTTTTTTTTTTTTTTTTTCCTCTCTCTCTCTAACATTAACACGTGTTTGAGATTATCGAGTAAATTATTATTATTACTATGGTTTGTTTATTCTGATGTTACTTTAGATAATTTTATCTAATGTGCATCAAAACGACGTATTTTGAAACGGAAATCATGGTATTTTTATAATTTTAATATATTTCAGGGTTGTAATAGTCTTTATCACTCTAATTTTTTGATTTTTTAATCTCAAAACGACGTCGTTTCGATAAACATTAGATAAAATTATCTAAAGTAACATAGGAAAAAATTTTCCCTATTATTATTCAAAAGAAAAAATATTTGTTAATTTAAAATGAAATAAAATTATGTTATTTTAAAAAAAAATAGATATAAAATAATATTTTATTATTTAAATTTTAAATTAAAAAAACTCTCTCTTTTTTCTTTAATTTTTATTTTTTATGTCTATCTATTTCCTAAAATGATATGATTTATATCATTTAATTAAGGGTTTGGTGTTTGTCATTTTAAATGACATAAGTTATGTTATTTTAGGAGAGAGATAGACACAAAAATATCTCTTAAAATGACATAATTTTCTGTCATTTAAAATGACAAACACTTTTTCTTTTAATGAACTAATTATTTTTTATTTTCAAAATACATTTATGGTTATTTTTTGTGTTAAATATACTAACCTTTTTGAACATACCTGGATGGCCCACATGACAGAAAAATTCAAAAAAAAATTAGAATCTCCTCTCATGTGAAAATTCACACCATGTTAAAAATCATGACCATACAAAAGTTGATATAATAAAGAAAAAGAAAAAAAAATGTTAAAATAAATAATTACAAAATCATAATCGTTAATTTAACTTATTGTGATTTTTCACATGAGTTTTTTTTTCACGTGTCATTTCCAAAATATTATATCATACAAATTACACATATTTTCTTAAAAGAAAATTATATAAAGGCTACTTGGTACGAATCGGGAAAAAGACAAAAAAAAAAAAAAAAGTTAGCAAAATAGAATTTCATTTTTGAGGGTTTATAGGAGAAAGGAGGAGAGGGGTTTCTTCCTCCATAAAAGTTGTTGTACTGCATCATCTGCATCCTGCAATGGTTTCGCTATCAACATGGTGTCGGTACATTGCCCACAAATTCGAATACTCCTTATCTCTCGGCTGGAAGGTCTCTCTTTCCCTTCCTTTACTTTCTTACCCATTTTTTAATTCCATTTTATCATTTTTTTTTGTGTTGTTTTCTCTTTGTAATTCTTGGAATTCTCGCAGCTGATCAGCTTCCATTCCCTCTTATATTATCCAATACTGTATATATCTATTTTTTTAATTAATTTCAACATTTTGTTTTCCGCTTGGGTGGTTCCGTTGATAATTGACATTGGTATGTTTATTATTATCATTATTATTATTTTTTCATGGCTTGTTGCTGGGCTGGGGTTTCAAATGTAAACTATAATTGGGTATGCAATTTATACGATCCATGCTAAAAAAATTGCTCTTAGTTCAAAAATTCTTGCTCGACATGAAACCTTGTTGAATTCTTAGTTATTAGGCACCGAACTTGTACATTAATTTGATATGGAAATAAGATATTACTGAATGGAAGAATTATAAACCTAATGAAGCTTGTCATCAAATCAGGAGCTGACAAGTTTGTAATAAATTATATTTATAGTTCTCAATTCATGGCATTAGAATGGTGGGTGAGATATCAAAGCTAGAAGTTTAGGTTCTATATTGTCTCCCTTTGAATCTATTTATAATAAACAAAGTGGATAAGTCTAACTGAACAGCCTTGGAAAAATGGAGATCATAACCTTTCAAACACCTGTTTTTCCTCTTTTATGCTGCTGTGTACCATATTGTTAGAACTTAAAAGCCCCTCTTTTGAAGTGTTTTCTGACTGATTCAGTATTGTTATGTGAATAGAATTATAAAGGAGGTCAAATTTCGGACAGAGAGGTAGGTGATGTTATTTGGAAGAACTTCTTTCAAGGTAAGTTGACCTACTTACACTGGAATAGAGGAGAGGAGATGGCCCCTACTATTGACGGAAAAGGAGCAACTCTTCTTGTTCGGAAATTACCAACTGCAGATCCAACGTAATCATATTCATTTAATATAGCGGACACTTTCCTTTTGCAAATCTATTGACTTTTATTGCATGTTGTTTCACACGGGTCTTCTAAAGCTAGAGATACAACATAGAACATAGAAACTTCTACTTGCTTTTTTATGCCTTTCTTAGACTATTGGTATGTGTGTGCTTGTGCGTGTGGGTGACTTTAGTTATACCTGAAAGTAAGACCTTCTCAGTTCATTTCATAAGTTTTGCATTCTATAGCAGCTCAGTTTTGATGCATCATAAAAAAAAGTGTTTTTTGGCTGAATGCTTCAATCTTTGTTATAATCCAGGTTATTTATGAAAAGATGTAGCTATTATTTCCTTGGTTTCCTTGTTATGCAGCAATGTATTATTATCTTGGTTTGGACTTCTTCCATTTCCATTAATGTTTTGCTAATTTGTTTTTTGATGCGTAGTCAATAACAAGGATGTCAATAACGTGATTGAGGGTGAGCCTTGTTGCAACGTAAGAGTTAAGATTGCATGCATCTAACCTTGGTGGTTAGGTGTTAGTTGTGGAAACAGTCTTTCCGCTTACAGGGTAAGAATTAAGATTGCGTGCATCTAACTCTCCCTAGACACCACAATTGTGGAAGCCCTGTGCACTAGGCCACTCTCTTTAGTCAGTGATGTGAATGCTATGAGGAACTCCGAAATGTTGATTCAGGTCCCTTTTAGAGTTTAGATAATGGTTTCTTGTTGATAAGTGACCTATGGAGATTAGTGTCTGGGACTGTTTTCAAGTAAATGTTCTTGAATGCTATGAGGAACTCTGAAATGTTGATTCTGGTCCCTTTTAGAGTTTAGATAATGGTTTCTTGTTGATAAGTGTCCTATGGAGATTAGTGTCTGGGACTGTTTTCAAGTAAATGTTCTTGAATGTTTGGCAATATATAATAATTTAGTCTACAGTTTGTGACTGGCAGGTCTATCTTTTTGTTGTAACAACAGGAATGACATCATAAATTTGACTATTTGAGTCGCCAGAATTGTGTTAATACTATGATTTTTGACTAACAATTCTTTCATTTGACTTTTTGTTAAGACTATGAAAGCTAGTTTATCAGGGTTTATTAGTTGGGTAGTTGAAAACCCTGAGCTGGTTCTTACCCGTGAGTCTGTGACATTATATCTTGAATATGGTAAAGTTCCATTTCAGAGACGTGTTTGGTTTTAGCAAATGTTATGTATAAAACTATAAATTCGCTGGCCTCAAGTGTTTTGACAAACTTCATGTTCATCATGTGCAGTGGTTATGTGTAGGGTTTTTTGGTAGAAATTTTTAATTTGTTATTAGGTTGAAGCTTATGGATGGTATGATTCATGATCATCCCCAAAAAAGATTGCCAACTGATTGTGTCAGTTTAAAAATTTGGAAACTAAGGGTCCGTTTCATTGTGTCCTGGTTTTTTTGTTCTTAAAACTGTTTTGTAGAATAGTTAATGAAATAGATGTTTTCTATGCTTTTTTGTTTTGAAAAATAAAAGTCAAAACACAAAACAAAAACAACTCAGTTATGTTCTCTAAATTTGATTCTAAAAACAAAAGAATAGTTACAAATTTTAAAACCTTTAGAAAACAGGCCTTATCAAATAGACCCTGCATGATTGTGTTTTGGTTTTTTATTCTTAAAACTGTTTTGTAGAATAGTTAATGAAATATGTTTTTCTATGATTTTTTTGTTTTGAAAGTTAAAAGTCAAAACACAAAACAAAAACAACTCAGAAATGTTATTTAAATTTAATTCTAAAAGCAGAAAAACAGTTACAATTTTTAAAACTTTTTTTACAATGCAGGCCTTATCAAATAGGTTTTTTTGTTCTGAAAATCAAAAAACTGTTTTTCGAAACAAATTTCAAACAAGCCCTTAGTCTTTCTCCATTTTGTTCTATTCACAAAAGTTACCAAGAGATTGACAGACAATTAACTTCGTAATCTCAAGCTCATTATTTAGTGTATTCTCATCTCTGTTAGTTGTTAGTGATAGACATGTTTCTTTGACAGGCGTGTTTTTGTAGGAGATGTTGTGGTCTTGAAGGACCCTGAGAAGCCAGATAAGTACCTAGTCAGAAGATTAACTGCAGTTGAAGGTTATGAAATGATTTCTACTGATGAAAAGGATGAACCCTTTGTTCTTGAGAAGGATCAATGCTGGGTAGTGGCTGAGAATGAAAAATTGAAAGCCAAGGTATAGATGTTTACTTTTTCTGGTAAATTAATCATTATATTTACATTGACAATTTACTTTTACCTAGATGCTATCCCTAGGTGGTGCACCTCTGCCACAATTTGAAAGACTGTAATTGTATTAGAGGAAGTTATACTTACCATAATTTTAGGCTTACCACTCTTACTACCTGTTTGGTTACCGTTGGATCAATTTGAAATCAACGGCAGTTAATTTTTGCTCTTTTTCAACTATTGATTTCAAATTGATCCAATGGTAATAAAACATATAGTAAGAATGGTAAGTTAAAATTGTGGTAAGTATAACCGTCCCCGTTGTATTAATTTTTGAAATTGAAATTTCAGATTAAAATGTCAGGTAATCAAGCAATAAATTGTCATTGATATGCAAGCTTTTAAGGTGAGACATACGTGAAGTTGTTTAAATTTATGAAATTTAGCGTGAAAGATTAAAATGATAACTAGGTAGAACTAAACAGTTTGATTAGTTAAGATGATTTTCTAATGGCGTAAGCCAATTCTTACACTTGTGTGAACGGTTACAGACATTATTGACAGGACTCTGAACTTCAGTGTCCATTAAACCCCTTTTTAGTGGTGAGCTCGTAATATTTTCTACAATAGCACCCTATGGTTAAGTGAGAACTGAGAATATATTTAATTTTGAACATTATATTATTATATTATTATTTTTGGTAATATGAACATGATATTATTAGTCCTTTTAAACAGAGTTTCACTAAGCTTCGAAGTGAATGTTTACACAATGGCTAGTGGAATCTGCTGTAATATTTGGTCATGCTTTTGACTATTCAAATGCTTTTAGAACAAGGAATGATTCTTTGTTTAATGCTTCCAACAATAATGGCAGGAAGCAAATGATAGTCGATTATTTGGTCCAGTTCACATGACAGACATTGTAGGCAGAGTCATATATTGCCTACGAAGTGCAGTAGACCATGGCCGTGTGCAAAATAGGTGAACTAAATTTCTGAAGATAATTTATTATGCACAAATGGAAATGGCTCTTTTGATGATTGATATATTTTACCCCTTTGCCAGTCATTTCAGCATGCAAAAGGATTCACCAGTGTTGGAAGTGGAACTTGATATTGATGAGATGGCAAAGAGTCACAAAGCCTAAACTTTTGTCCCGAGAAGCACACTAACTTGTTTATTTTGCTTAGTTTCTTATTTTCTTCTTGTGGATTTTCCTTGAAGCAAGGATGAAGAATAAAATATATGATTTTTAAATTGTTGCAATGGGATGGTGGTGTTATGTGGATGTCCTTAGCTAAGTCTGCATATTGGGCGATTGGCCTTTTCTTCTCAACTGAAAAAATTGAAGCGGCCTGAGTTTAAAGCTTGAGTTCAACATTGTTGTAAGCTGAAGTTCTAGCAAAGGACCTCATCTCCCTGTTGTTCTATGAGTAAATTATTTGACTTCAAAAGGAAGTTGACCAATTTTCGGTCTATTGGTTAATGGTCAGGAATGATAAAAGGCTGCATGTCAGAAATTATGGTTCCAGCTGTTTTCATTTTGTTTGCTACAGGAGGATTTGTTCCTCTTATGTTTAAAAGTGGTCATATTATTTGATCACAACCACTTATTTAAAAATCATATACTTTTCTATTTCTTATCTCATCATCAATAAGTAGTTGTGATTAAATAATAGAATTATATGATCACTTTTAAACAGAAGAAGATCTAAATCCGCTACTCGATGATAAAAGTTGTGAAGTCCTAGTGGTACTAGGCTCACGATCCCAAGGGTTTCTTGCCATCTTGGAAAAGTGAATTTGTTTAGCAAGGTGATATTATCCTTGATATTTGTCTTCATCAGTCGGTAAAGTGAATTTTATGAAAAAGAACGTTTAAGTTGAACTTGACTGAATCAAATAAAATTATACTTTTTTTCTTCTTTTTCCTTTCTTTCTGTGGGCCTCAATTTATGGTCAATGATTCACAGGCTGAATGGATTACTTAGGACCTCTGTTGGTATATAGATTCATCATTTTTTTACAAACATACGTTCTTGACTCGGGGAGTCATGTATTTCCTTAGGGCCTGTTTGGTAGGAGTGTGTTTTTTGAAATCCTGGAAAAGCTTGATTGGGATTGTAGCTTTTCTATGTTTGGTAGAGGAAATCAAAAATCTTTCTCATGATTCCAGCTTTTCTAGAATTTTGGCTGTAGTGCAAATTACATCCGCAAATACCATGAACAAATACCACAAATTATGTGGTATTTGCGGAATTCGATTTCTTGGAGAAAGTTTACAAATTTTTTGGGTCCTTTTTACCCTTGCTGCATCGTGCCCTATTAAAGTAGTAACTCACGTTTAACAATAATTCACGTTTTACGTGATTGCAGACACGCGAGGAAAATTTGGCAACTCTGGTTTAAAGGTACGATTCCAAATTCTTTTATGACTTTGAATTTGCAGGACTCGATGACATCCAATATAGAGAACCTGTGGACATTAAATGAAGTGAAGGACTGGAAGGATATCTTTTTTACTACTTGTTGGTACCTGTGGAAATGGAGAAACTTGGAGATTCTTGAAGATCAGTTCCGGCATGAAGAGCAAACTAAAGAAACGATTTGGATTTTTATTCAACAAATATTACGGTCCAGAAGTCATCATAGGCAATTAATTACCAAGGGTAGCAGTTGGGTAGCTCCTCAGCAGGGATGGGTCAAACTAAATTGTGATGGAGCTTCTTCTAGCTGCATGAAAAAAGCTAGCTGTGGTGGTATACTAAGAGATCACAATGGATCCTTCTTGGGAGGTTTTTATTGTGATTTAGGTTATTGCAATCCTCTTTATGCAGAGTTATGGGGATTATTGAAAGGTTTGGAATTGGTTTGGGGCACAGGCTTAAAAAAGATAGAGGTAGAATGTGATTCTATTCAAGCCATCCAAATTTTGAAAGAGCAACGTGAAGACCCTAGAGAATCCCAAGTCACTAGAAGGTTGAGATTATAGTCAAAAGCAGATTGAACCATTCATCTAGTTCATACAAAAAGAGATAACAACAAGTGTGCACATTGGTTAGCCAAAGCTGGGCAGAATGAAAATCTCCACTTAAAGATTTTTAAGGAACCCCCTCCTCAGTTGATGGATCTTTTAGATACTGATGCTAGAAATATGTAGCTTGATAGTTACTGAGTTGTAATTTTCTTTTGATTTTTGGGGCTTGGCTCCTCTTTATTTACAAAAAAAAAAAAATAAGGTAGTAACTCATTATCTCCCTTTTGGTTAGTGAAGGAAAAACAACGGAAAGATAATTCCAGAAGTTTTGTTGATGGTTGCTGGATTATTAAAGACAACCTCGTGGAATAGTTGTTCATCCGTTGAACTCCATTTTTCTACTATTTGTTCTCCCATGTCAGCAAACCCCAATTCGGTGAATTTCTTGGACCCAAAGGATTTTATAAAAAAAATTTCTTTCGATGGATGTTTGATGATTAGATCCAACAGATACAAGTTTGCGAGGAGAGTGTTTAAGGAGTACGGAGAGGGAGGGGAGAATGAACGATGGTTGAAAAAAAAAAGCGTTATAAACAAAATTAATTACAAGGACTAGTTTCATAAATTCACCATATATTTCGAGTAATATTTTTCCATCAACCAAACATAGACTCAGAAAACTTAAGTCAATATTCCTGGTAATATTTTGGTCTACCAAACAACTTTTTATTAACACTCTTGAAAAACTCACTTTCTCAATATATTCTTGGAAATCGTAATTCCCGAATAAAAAAAAAATTATCCTTTACCAAACGCCACCTTAGTGCCTCCGAAGCAATGTTATTAAATTCAAATTGGTCATCGATTCGATTGAACTATTGAGTCAGTGAATTATTGGTTCAATCTGTTAAATTAAATTTATATTAAATTATATAATAAATATATTAAGTAGTGCATCTTGACCAACAACACATGATAGTCTAATGGTTAGTGCTATTTTTTCTATTCCCATAACAAGGGTTTGACTCCCACCGGTAGCTACATGGAAATTATATAATAAATAAATTATAAATATATTAAATGGTGTATATTAACTAATATTGGTTTAATTGTTGGCCAATTTTCGGACTAACAGATTGGACCGGCCAAGCCAATCCGGTGGTAATTGGTAGAGTTCTAAAGTAATCATATAATGCTCTATTTTATTTTATTTTATTTTTTTCTAATTAACTCTAAGCTAATCACCTGGACATGAAATAAATTATGATCTCAAAACCTTTTACTATTATTATTTTGCGGGATAAGTTATTCTGCCTACTTTTATTTTGTCTATTTTTGTCTACCCCTCTCAACATCGTTATATTATAATCTTATCTAACGATAGAGATTTGCGAGATAAAATAAATCATTTTATTCCTTTCTTTCTCTCTTCTTTCCTTTCTCTCTTCTTTCCTTTTTCTCTGTCGCATTTCAAATTTCCAATCATGGAAAAAAAATAAACAATTCCAACAATAATTTTGAAAGCATGGGAGGGGGTGAAGTGCTCTACACATAACTCCCTCCCAATCTACTTGATACTACAAAAAAATGTATAGGACACTATTCAACATAATCCAAGCATTTTCACAATCTCTTTCACACTTGAGAAAGATAAAAATCACGATCTTCTTCGAAATTTGGTTATTGAAAACAAATTATTCAATGCCTATGTGATGCAATAATGCTATTAAGGGAAATTACAAGAAGAAATTTTCACAAGTCAAAACAAAGCAACATCTTCATAAGGAGGAGAGAGAAACGGTGGAAGACAGTAAGGAGAAAAAAAGGGGCAAAAGCATTTATTTTATCGTGCAAATCTTCACATTTGAATGAAATTATAATCTAATGATATTGAGAGGAGTAGACAAAGTTAAGCAAAATAAGAGTAGGCAGAATAACTTATCTCATTATCTTGCAGTAAATTTATTGACATATTTATTTTAATAATAGGACTAAGACAATAAAAACATAACACCTTAAAGACCTTTTTAATATAATTTTATTTTAGTTTAATAACGATAGTGTTTAGGGTAGGAACAGTTTTTCAATACACTGTGCCTCTTATTCAAAAAATGACACTTGAATTAATTTTTTTCTCCCTACTTCAAATAATTTGCATATTCTCTCTCCGATTTTGATTGACCCGTCGCACTGAATTAGTGGTGCGACAAGAGTACTTTAGAAATTTTACTAAGATAGCTGCAAATACTATAAAAATTAAAAAAATTAGAATTATATCTCGTTATAAATATGCTAGTGAGTGAAATAATCTTAGCTTAAGAACTAAGTAGGAATGTTTTTAAAAATGTATGATGACAATATAAAAAAATTGAAATTCAGAGCGATTATATACTTTTTTCTTATTTTTATTCCTTTGCAAAAAGTATTCTTTTCTTAAAATGTGTTGTGCCCAAATATAAATGCACATTTGCACAAAATAACCAGCGAATGTTCTGGATCCATTCTAATGTTTAGTTACTTGGAAGTCAGTCACTGACGACATTGAACTTTTACCCCAAAAAATTAATATATTCCCGAAAATGTCCCTTATCATAGAAAACAACCTAGGAGCTCAGGAAAAGAACATGTATAAAATGCAAAACCGGCATTGAGTGAGAATTCCCTCTCCTATGCTCTAAGGTTGTCAAACAATGTCGCAATCGGTGCATCTCGTCGTCGCCAAGAACATTGGTTAGTGTCTGTCTCTGTTATTCTTTCTTATTCTCTGTGCTTTAACATTTTTGTCTTTATAGAATAGAAAAAAAAACCTTGCCCAACCTTATGTAGGTGTACTGTAGGTGCTTCAACTTCAAAAGCCCGTTTCAGGATTACAAATTACGGTTAATTTTTTCATTTGTTTAGCTTAAAGTATAAATTAAACACTAGGGTTTTCAATGCTCTGTGTATCTGTTTTGGTAAAGTTCCCGTCTTTTTTCATTTAGTTGTAGCTTTCTGATAGAAGGATTCATAGTTTGTGACCGTTTTCTTCTAAGCATTTATATTAACCCCATCAGATATGTTGTAGCTTGTGGTGTGGCTATTGAGGAAAGTTTCTTTTTTTTTCTTTCAATGTTGGTTTGAAGGTCTTTGAGGTTTTTTATCCTGTGGGGAAATGATGTTTTGAGAGTGGGTTGAAGATAAAATGTTCTGTGCGTTTGTGGTTTTTTTGGCTGGTTCTTATTGCCCGCCACCTATTTGTTGAAAAGTAATGTTATATCTGCACCTGAAAACCTACACCAGGATTAGAGCTGGTTACTGAAGTTTATCGTTTGGTTAACTGACTCGCAATGTATTTGTTTTAAACAATGAACGAGAAACATTAATCAAACGAAAAACGATACGCGTTGGTAACCAATATTTGGCATAGCAGTAACTAGGTGTAGATCTTACGTTACATTTTGTTGAAATGATGAAATGTGAGTGCTAGGTCATAACAATTGGACACTTGGATTATTAATGGAAGTTCCCTTTTCTCCAGTTTAGGGTTTTCTTCTTTATAACTACTTTATTTATGTTTGTTTTGGGTTTTGATTATGTTAATTTTTGCTTTTGTGTATGATTCTTTCCGTCCTGCATCTTGCAATTGTTGGTAGTTTTTAGATATCATTTTCTGCAATGGTTGTCAGCTCTATTTGGTGAAGTGAATAATCAAAGTGCGGTAAGTAAAATATGATGGTCTTCATGGACAATGGGGAACAAGTTTTAGTTTTATGTTGTTGGCGACCCTTAGAGGACATTCACCAAACTGAAAGTATGTACTTTTTTTTTCCTTGGATAATGGAACCAATCTGGATCTGTATGTTTTATCTGCAAGCTGCTTGTAGAATAGTCTTGAGTCATAATGTTTTTAACTGGCTTTTCTACAATTGGCTTCCCATTGTAAGTCTTGATGTTTATCATGACTAAATTCAGAGGTTGAGTACTTGATGCCTTATCATGGGTTAATGTGGCGGGACATCATGTTTTGTGTCATTTATTGTCTTTCTTTATTTTTTCTATTCACATACTTCTATCTTTGTGGTTGCTGAATCAATTCGGTGATATTGCAGGTTGCGGAATGCCAGAAGGCAGGTGTCTCCCATGCTCGGGTGTTTCTGGAAGAACAGCTGCTGCATATTCTTGCTCTTCTCTAGGTTATTACAGAATTCATTCACATGTCAAAATTAGAGGGTTAAAGTGTGGTTCTGTGGGTGCATCTTTTGTATGCGAAGCAAAGAGGAACCCTGATTTCTCATGGCAAAACAAGAATAGGCTCTCCAGAAGCAGGAACAGGAGCAATGAAGGGAGAGATGGCTTTGAGAACTTTGAAGAGGACATGTTATCTTCGAAAAATGGACCATTGGCATCTCTTTCAACTTCTGGAAAATACCAGGCTACTGCAGCCCCTGGACCTAGAGAGAAGGAGATTGTTGAGTTATTTAGGAAGGTTCAGGCTCGGTTGCGTGAGAGGGCAGCTATCAAAGAAGAAAAGAAAGTTGAAACCTCCCGAGGACAAGGTAAAGAGAACAGTACTGTAGATTCCCTTCTCAAACTACTGAAGAAACACTCAGTGGAGCAAGTAAAGAGAAGCAGTGGAGGAGGCAGAGGGAAAGATTTTAGTTTGGACCAGCTGCAAGAAAGTAACCAATTCAATGGTGAACGAAGCACTAAATTTTCTGATTTGGGTAGTGCTCCAAAGGATGAGTCCCTAGAAGCCAACATCTCTGTAGCTAGGCCTCGATCAAGTTTCCAAAGAAGGTCTCCTGTTCCTCGTGTTAAGTACCAGCCTGTCTCTAATAATGAGGATGATATGAATGTAGTGCCAATGAGTAGTGGTGATGGAGAGAGCGATCAGGATCAGATAGGTTTGAAGCTTGACGACGAGCCAGAGCCTGATTCTGAACCTGATCTTGATCCAAAGGATGAGCTTTTCTTCCCAGATATGGGGATTGCTGAATTATCAGAGGATGATTCTCATGATTCTGAACAAACCTATAATGATGAGAGTGTGGAGGAGCAGCTAGTGGTTCGACATGAGGATTTGAGTGCACTGAAGCTGCCTGAATTGAGGGCACTTGCAAAGTCTCGTGGCTTAAAAGGGTTCTCAAAAATGAAGAAGGGCGAGCTCATGGAGTTGCTAAGTTAGAGCTGATTTTGATCGAATGATATACGGGAAGAAAGAAGAACAGACAAAAACACTTGTCATAGTAAAATAGATGTTTCTTTTTCTGTTTTTAGCTTACATTTTCTATCTGATGTTGTTTCTTTGAGATTTTTTTTTTTAAGCTAGTTCTTCCTAGTTCCAAGTACTTGTGGAGGTTGAGAGTTTGTGGATCATTAGAGTAATCATGATATCTTTACCTTGCTGGAATTTTAAATTTGTAGTTGTGTTCCCTTGATGAGATCTGTTACACTTACACCCAAGGTATTGGTAATCTTTACCAGGCTAGTGCATTTACCATAATTGTACTGTGGTTTTGGTTTTTTCTCTCCTTTTAGTTGTTGAGCTTACGGAAGAAAATTTTTGAAACTTTGCATTTCAATGGTGCTCTTACTCTTTCATTTTGAATGGTTATGCTTAGCATGCCTTCGGTGGCATCTTATTATGTCCCTCAAATTTTCCATCATGTTCCTCAAATTAAAAATAAAAGAAAAATAATGTGAATAATTACAAGCTGCATTTGAAGTCACCATTACGCTCAAATTTGCTATCCGACATTTTAGAATTTTTCTGGTCTTAAATCAATATTCACGGCAACTAAAATAAATAAAAAGTTCAGCCATCTATGCTCAAGATATATCATTTCCTCAAATGAAACACTTTTAGCAAATACAAAAATCACCTAATCGCTTGTTTTATGTTTCTGGGTCAGTAACGTATGTGGGAACCAACTCTTTTTATTATCCCATTAACTATAAACATGGATCAGGAACGTAGAAGCCATTAGAGCTCTCCACTGAAAGGGTGCTAGCCTTGAGGTATTTTAAAAGAAGCATGCTACACAATTTTTTTTTTTCTTTATTTTCCCTTTTTGCGTGTTCGGAGTAATGCTATTTATTGATGCAGTTTATCCGTAAAACTTTAGAAGTCCATAACTTTTGATTCGGGTGTCCGAGTTAGGTAAAAAAAGAATTTGATTCCACACAATTTTTCAACATCTACACAATAACACCTAATTTGACATATTTTGTCTCTCACAAAAAAGTTCGAATTTACAACAATGATACTATAAAAACGTTTAAACCCAGATTAATAAAGAGAAAACCGCTATCATGATTAGAAACATTCATAGTAAAGATCCTTATGATTATGGTACCGTTGCTGCAAAGTGAAATTCTTATATTTTCTGTGCTTTTGGATAGATGCACATGATGTCCTCTGCCGTTACCCGCGACAGGAATATAGTCAACTACACACCATAAATCGAAATAGCAATAGATCTTTATGATATTTTATTTAAGAAATTAATAAGATAATTTTTGATGCGGACAATAGCTAAAATATTGCTTATTGTAAAATTGAGGGTTCTACTTACATTGACTAATTGTATTCTAGATATCTAACATTGTCAGTCCAATGTAGAAAATTTTACAAAAAAGATTAATTATTTAACAATGGGTGATAATCGTCCGGGTAGTTTTCTTATAATTGATGGCTACATATTGACAGAGAAAAATGGAGATGAATATAGAAGCATTAGAAATTGATTAATTAATTAATATGTGTGTTTGTGTGTGTAATATACTATAACATATAAAAAATATGCAAAAAGGAGAAAAAGGAAGCAGTTTTTGGAAAATATTTTTGACGGACTTGTCAACACATTCGTTTCGAAAAGTTATGCGAAATTTGAATTTTTGTCTCCTATAAATATAATTTCAATTTGCAACAATAGTACAATAATCATAAGGACCTTTACTAGAATATTTCTATCAACGAAAGTGGTTTTCTATTTATTAATCTGGGTTTAAACGTTCCTATAATATCATTGTTGTAAATTCGAACTTTTTTTGTAAGAGACAAAATATGTCAAAGATGTCATTGCGTAGATCTCGAAAAATTGTATGAAATCAAAAATATTTTTACCTAATTCGAACACCCGAGTCAAAAGTTATGAATTTTCAAAGTTTTATAGGTAAAGTGTTGACTTTTTGTTCCACGTGATCTGGTGAAACACGTCCCCTTGGGGCGTGTCTCTCTCCTAAAACACGCCCTCATTCTCTCTCCATTAGGTCACGCTTCCATGGGATATGTTTGAGTGCTATACATTTATAAATACATTCAAAACGATTATATTTTCATAATTTTTTATTAAAAAACAATATTTAAATTTTTTTTCCATTTGCACAAAATATCCCGCCAAGATGTCCCTTTTCAAAGAAAACAACCTACGAGCTGAGGAAAAGAATTTGTGTAAAATGCAAAACTGGCATTGAGTGTAAAGGTGTTCATCAACCGATTCAAACCGCGGTGACCGAACCGAAAAATTGAAAATTGAGTTAATCGAAAACCAAAACATTGAAAACCGGAAAAAAAAATCGTAAAATTTAATTGGATTTGATCGATTTTTAGATGAGTTAGTGAAAACATATCTAATCTAATGATTCTCCAACCTTACCATCTACTTACTTGGTCTTTTTCCCAAGCCCAAAAATCATATAGCAAAATTCTAAATTCAAAACCCACTAATCCATTATGTTGGAGAAAGTGAGTTGTGCATGATCTATGTTATGTTTTTTTTTTTTTTGGAAAGACACATAATTTTTACATAAGTTATTGTTGTACAACAACTCCTCTATAGGATGAAAATTTGGATTACTTCGTATATTCGTATACTATCCAACCATATTATAAAATTTTTTGTTGGGGGTAAAAATGCGGGACAGTGACCAAAGTGCCACGCTTGGACAAAAAAACTACCAGACTGCCACGCCAACAATAACTTTTGCCAAAATGCCACGCGGCATAATTCGCTACACAGAGTAACGAATTATGGATGCAAGTAATTCGCTACACAGTGTAGCGAAATATGCCACGTGAGAATGCACAGAACCAAAAATGCCACATGTCAAATTTTGAGAAATTCGCTACATAGCGAATTTCTCAAAATTTGACATGTGACATTTTTGGTTCTGACGTGGCATATTTCGCTACACTGTGTAGCGAATTACTTGCATCCATAATTCGTTACTCTGTGTAGCGAATTATGCCGCGTGGCATTTTGGCAAAATTTATTGTTAGCGTGGCAGTCTGGTAATTTTTTTGTCCAAACGTAACAAAATGGTCACTGTTCCTAAAAATGCTAATTTAACTTTTTGTTGTACGATACAATAATTAGCATACAAACCTTACAAAGTCAATATACGTTATTTGCACAATAATCATATTATAAATTTTAGATTTTTCAAAAAAATAAAAAACTGATCCAATCCAAACCGAAAAATATTAGGTTGGATCATATCGAATTTGAAAAAAAAAAACTAAACTGAACGGATGATTAGATAATTAAACCGAAGAGATTGAATGATATAATTAAAAATCTAAATATGATTTTTAATTCCAAAATCTATCCAATAACGCGAACAACTAATTGAGTGTGAGAGTTCTCTCTCCTATGCTCCAAGGTTGCCAAACAATGTCGCAATCGGTGCATCTCATCGTCGCCAAGAACATTGGTTAGTGTCTGTCTTAACCTCTGTGCTTTAACATTGTTCTCTTTTTTCAATCACTTGTAGCCATAGTTTGTGACCTTTTTCTTCTTCTTTTCTTACTGGTTTCTTCTCAGCATTTATATTAACCCCATCATATATGTTGTAACTTGTGGCGTGGCTATTAAGGAATGATGTTTTCAGAGTGGGTTGAAGATAGAATCTTCTGTGCACCTGTGGTTTTTTGGCTGGTTCCTATTGCCCGTCATCTATTTGTTGAAAAGTTATGTTATATCTACACGTGAAAACCTACACCAGGATTAGAGCTGGTTACTGATTTGTTAAGTATTGGTTACTGAAGTTTATAGTTTGGTTAACTGATTGGCAATATATTTGGTTTAAACAATGAACGAACCAAATAATGAACGAGAAACATTAACTCAAACGATACACGTTGGTAACCAATATTTAGCATACCAGTAACTAGGTGTAACCTTGGTGTAGATCTTACATTGCTTTTTGTTGAAATGCTGAAATGTGGGTGAGAAGCCCTAACTATTGGACACTTGCATTATTAATGGAAAAGTGCCCTTTTCTCCAGTTTTGGGTTTTCTTCTTTCTAACTACTTTATTTATGTTTGTTCTGAGTTTTTACTATGTTATTTTTGCTTTTCTGTGTGATTCTTTCCATCCTGCATCTTTCAATTGTTGATACATTTTAGATATCATTTTCTGCCATGGTTGTCAGCATTCATTTCATGAAGTGAATAATCAAAGTGCGGTAGTTAAAATATGATGGTCTTCATGGACAATGAGGAACAAGTTTTATGTTGTTGGTGACCCTTAGAGGACATTTACCAAGCTGAAAGTATGTCCTTTTTTTTTTCTTGGATGATTGAACCAATCTGGATCTGTATGTTTTATCTGCAAGCTGCTTGTAGAATAGTCTTGTCATAATGTTTTTAACTGGCTTTTCTACAGTTGGCTCCCCAATATAAGTCTTGATGTCTATCATGAATAAATTCAGAGGTTGAGTACTTGATGCCTTATCATGGTTTTATGTGGTGGAACACCATGTTTTGTGTCATTTATTGTGTTTCTTTATTTTTTTCTTTTCTTATACTTCTATCTTTCTGGTTGTTGAATCAATTCTGGAAGAACAGCTGCTGCATTTTCTTGCTCTTCTCTAGGTTATTACAGAATTCATTCACATGTCAAAAATAGAGGGTTGAAGTGTGGTTCTGTGGGTGCAACTTTTGTAAGCGAAGCAAAGAGGAACCCTGATTTCTCATGGCAAAACAAGAATAGGCTCTCCAGAAGCAGGAACAGGAGCAATGAAGGGAGAGATGGCTTTGAGAACTTTGAAGAAGATATGTTATCATCGAAAAATGGACCATTGGTATCTCTTTCAACCTCCGGTAAATACCAGGCTGCTGCAGCCCCTGGACCTAGAGAGGAGGTGTTTGCCTGGCACATTAGGAGGATTGAGGCTAAGTTGCGTGAGAGGGCAGCTGTCAAAGAAGAAAGGAAAGTTGATGCCTCTGAGGACAAGGTAAAGAGAGCAGTACGAAAAATGAACCATTGGAATGTCTTTCAACTTCCGGAAAATACCAGGCTACTGCAGCCCTTGGACCTAGAGTGAATGAGATTCGTGAGCTATTAAGGAAGGTTCAGCCTTGGTGGCCTGAGAGGGAAGCTATCAAAGAAGAAAAGAAAGTTGAAGCCTCCCAAGGACAAGTTAAAGAGAACAGTACGAAAAATGGACCATTGGCATCTCCTTCAACCTCCGATAAATACCAGGCTGCTGCAGCCCCTGGACCTAGAGAGAAGGTGATTGATTAGCACTTTAGGAAGATTGAGGCTGAGTTGCGTAAGGGGGCAGATATCATAGAAGCAAAGAAGATGTTTGATGAGCACGATAGGAAGATTGAGGCTGAGTTGCGTGAGAGGGAAGAAAAGATAATTGTAGCCTCCCGAGGACAAGGTAAAGAGAATAGTACGAAAAATGGACCATTGGTATCTGTTTCAACTTCCGGAAAATGCCAGGCTACTGCAGCCCCTGGACCTAGAGAGAAGGTTATTGATGAGCACTTTAGGAAGATTGAGGCTGAGTTGCATGAGAGGGCAGCTATCAAAGAAGAAAAGAAGGTTGAAGCCTCCCGAGGACAAGGTAAAGAGAACAGTACGAAAAATGAACCGTTGGTATGTCTTTGAACTTCCGGAAAATGCCAGGCTAATGCAGCCCCTGGACCTAGAGTGAATGAGAATGTTGAGCTATTTAGGAAGGTTATGGCTCGGTGGCCTGAGAGTGAGAGGGCAGCTATCAAAGAAGAAAAGAAAGTTGAAGCCTCCCGAGGACAAGGTAAAGAGAACAGTGCTGTAGATTCCCTCCTCAAACTATTTAAGAAACATTCAGTTGAGCAAGTAAAGAGAAGCAGTGGAGGAGGCAGAGGAAAAAAAATTTGTTTGGACCAGCTGCAAGAAAGTAACCAATTCAATGGTGAACGAAGCACTAAATTTTCTGATTTGGGTAGTGCTCCAAAGGATGAGTCCCTAGAAGCCAACATCTCCTCTGTAGATAGGCCTCGATCAAATTTCCAAAGGTGGTCTCCTGTTCCTCGTGCTAAGTACCAGCCTATCTTTAATAATGAGGATGACTCTGAACCTGATCCTTTTGAGCTGTTGTTCCCAGAAATTGCTGAATCAAGAACAGATATGTGGATTCCTAAATTATCAGAGGATGATTCTCATGATTCTGAACTATCCTATAATGATGAGAGTGTGGAGGAGCAGCTAGTGGTTCAACATGAGGATTTGAGTGCACTGAAGCTGCCTGAATTGAGGGCACTTGCAAAGTCTCGTGGCTTAAAAGGGTTATCAAAAATGAAGAAGGGCGAACTCGGGGAGTTCCTAAGTGAGCTGATTTTGATCGAATGATATACGAGAAGAAAGAAGAACAGACAAAAACACATGTCATAATATAATAGATGTTTCTTTTTCTGTCATTTAGCTGACATTCTATCCAATGTTTCTATGAGATTTTATTTTATTTTTTTAAATTTAGTTCTTCCATGAACTTAGGTTGAGAGTTTGTGGATCATTAGAGCAATCATGATATCTTTTGCCTTGCTAGAATTTTAAATTTGTAGTTGTCTTCCCATGATGAGATCTGTGACACCCAGGTATTGATAATATTTACCAGGCTAGTGAATTTACCATAATTGTCCTGTGATTTTGATTTTCTATCTCTCCTTTTAGCTGTTTAGCTTATGGAGGATGATTTTTGAAACTTTTTTTTCCCCCCGGTCAAACTCTAAAATAATGGCCGTTGTTTTTCAGCATTTCAATGGCGCTCTTACTCTCATTTTGTGGAGTTATGCTTAGCAGGCCTTCAGTGGCATCTCGTATGTCCCTCAAATTTTCCATCATGTCCCATAAATTAAAAATAAAAGAAAAATGTGAGAAATTACAAGCTGCATTTGAAGTCACAGTTACGCTCAAATTTGCTATCCGACATTTCAGAATTTTTCTGCCCTTGAAACAATATTCCAGAAATTAAAATAAAAAAAATAGTTCAGCTATGTATGCTCAAGATATTTCATTTCCTCAAATCAACCAAATAATAATAATAATAATAATAAACTACCCAATCGCTTGTTTTACTTTGCTGGGTTAGGAGCGTATGTGAGAACTTACTCTTTATTATCCCATGAAAGTTTCTTAATGAAATGGTTAACGTAGAAGTCATTAGAGCTCTTCACAGAAAGGGTGCTATCCATGAGGTATTTTAAAAGAAGCATGCTAGCGTCATTGGTGTCCACAATTTTTTATTCTCTCTTTATTTTCCCTTTTTGCGTGTTATGTGTAACGCTATTAATTTATTGATGCAGTGGACTGACGAAGAAGGGAAGATCCCTCTAATCTTGGCTTGCATGAACCTTGAACTTGTTCATGATGCCAAGTTTTTGGTTGAGTTGGGTGTCAGTGTCAACGCTAATCATCATGGTAAGTTTGTGAGAATGACATGCTATTTCAAGCCTTAATATATGGTATGATTGTCCAATGAACATGAATACTTAACTGAATGGATGGCTTTGTCTTCAATTCCTTATTAAACGAATACTTGCCACAAAAGTGTGTGCGGTTATGCGCCATAGCTTCAGTCAATATTTCTTGTTAATCGTGCCAACGGTACTGCTGCAAGAATGTTTCTGTGATAATCGCATTCACAATGTGAATAGAGAGCTTTAAATGTTTTATTATTTTCAATAAAAATGCTATTAGCATGTGCTTATTAAAGGTTGTTTCTTTCAGTTGGGTTGTTGTTGTACCATATTCTGAAGAGCCTTTGAAGTTGGAAATTATGATATATCCTACTCAGCTGGTATCAAAAACCGTAAGGTGTATTCGCTTATTCTATTTTTCAAAAGACATATGCCAAGAAATGGTTCTTCAAAATCTAATATTTGTAAAAGAACTATAGTTCAATGCATATTACGTTCTTGGAGCTAAACATTCCATCCACTTAACATAAGCACAATTTGGTAGGCTTAGTATCTGAGTAACTTTATTGTTTGGTTTGGTTTGTCTTCTATAGAATGACATTTAGGCTTAATGGTCATTTTTAGATACAGTTGCATATCTATTATGATGATATTACCTCTTTTTTTGCTGATATACAAACAGGACTCCCAGCTCAATGCTGTCATTGCTGTTTGGAAGGAAGTCCAAGAATGAGGAACTCACATTTGACCAATGTGATCCAAAACTCACAATTTTTACTAATTTTCCGAGTGAGTTGTTTTTATGACTTTTCTTGTTTTGGACTACTACTGGTAGTAGGATGTCACAAATATCTTTCAGAAAGTTCTCCTCATTTTCTTTTTCAACTTGAGCTACTTTAGACAGTCTGTTTTCATTGTATTTTATGGTATGTAATCGTTTTTCATATGTTAAGCACATGTAATCATACTTTTTACTAGATATCATATTTTGCTACATTTGCTCTCTACCTAGTTGAGATTCTTTGCCTGGGCTTTTTGAATTGCTTTATTGAAGTGACAATACAGTTGTTTACTTTCTTAAGGAAAACATTTAAAAATAAATGGTAAATAAATAACTTTCGTGATCATATTCAATCCATCACTTAAAATAAATGATGATTACAATTGTAACATAGTGGTAGCTATAATGGGTGGGGATCCTCTCTTGGAGTCAGACATTCATCAGAGGTAAATACTAATGGATGGATAGAAAAACCAGCTAAAGATAGACTACAATGGTTGGGGATTACTTGACTCTAAGCCAGTTGACCAATTGACTTAAAATGTCCAAAGTCAGGACAACAATTCTCGTTTGCTGATAGTATTACGACTAAACACTATTTGTGTTAAATTAATTTATAGAAGCTTCCTATTGTTTTATTTACACTAAAGCCATCAATCATCCTATATAGCATAAAATAAATCAATTATTGTAACGAACAAATACATAATGACGTACAGGAAAGCGGTATGGAAAACTTGAATCCTGCAAAGAAACAGCAGAAAGGAGAGCGACCATTTTCATGCAGAACATGTAATGTGCTCATCAATATTCTAATCAATGTTATCATAATTCATAAGTGACGCTCTGGCCGGGTACTGGGTCAATTGCTGAGTTATTGATTGAATTGCATGACCCCGGGTTAGTATATGAAAAATTATATTTTATATATAAAATTGCATAAAAATACTTAAATATATGTAAAAAAATTATTTTGTAGAGCTGCAAATATATATATATATATATATATATATAGATTTTGTAAGGATAAAAACAGTCATATACGGTAATCACATATAGTATATTGTAAAAGAAATAAAAAAAGAAAAAAGAAAATTCAAGTATAAGGTAACCACTTATAATTCTTCTATCAAATATCTTCAACTAACCATGTTTAATAATTATAAGGCATTTATCAATAAGATAATAACTCTTCCCATAAAAATGGATTTGCAAGGAATTAATATGTCACTTTCTTTTAATCTACTATTTCGTAAATTATCTTTGAAGCTGAAATTTGAAATCCCTATAGGAGAATATATTACTAGCAAACAAAACTACAAAAAAATTGAAAGGATTTTAACACTTTTTTAAGACAAGATGAGACAACACTTGGTTTTTGATTTTTTTTTTTTTTTTTATAAAAATGCATGACCTGTTGTTTTTGATGACCTGTCCGGATCATCGATTTTGATAAAATCCAACCAATTTGAACTTCGAACTGATTTTCATTATAACTGGTCTAATACTTGATTCGAATAGGTCAAATGACCGATTCACTAGTACTGAGTTTCCGGGTTGACTCGATCGGTTCGAGTTGGGTGTGATAATAGTAATTCTAATCAACTTTATAGGAATATGACTAATATAAAAAAACTTTTTTTGCTTTCAAAGAGCTTTTTTTTATATGTTGGATATAATAGTCTTGACCAAACAGACTTCTCAGAATGTCGGCAGCAAGAAATTTTTTCTTTTTTTGTCTTTTTGGGGTTAAAGCAGGTCCATTTTTTGTACAAAACCGAACATGGACTCAAACTCAAGGACAAAATGCCAGAGCTGGGAGAGTTAGCTTGAGGTATTGAATATGACAGGTAAGAGTTTATTTATTTTTAAATTATTTAGTGGATTAGGATGATAATATGTTTTAAACTAAATTAAGATGATAATAAACTTTAAATTAAATTAAATTAAGATGACAATGTAAATAAAAAATAAATACATATTTATTTACTCATACAAACAGGCACTAAGTCATGTAATATAGTTTGGATTGTAGCCCATAGTTCAACTCCTACTTTCCTTTCCTTTTCTTCGGAAACCATTGCACATGCTTGCTTCTGCTTGCTTCCAATAGCAGTTACCCTTAGAAAATATAAAGTAGAATATCTACATTTCACATGGTGGGTGTCCCCCATACTGCAAAGTTTAGATATCAAAGAAGCTTGTGGACTTTGGGTTGCTGATTTTGTGACATGGACACGAGTTTCTTTAGTCTTTAAATGTGTGCTTTTCTGTCCAAATTCAATCCCCTACACGATGAGAAAGATAAGGGGAAATAAATCCGTTTATTATCTACAATACAAACCATGACGTATACGGCAAACAAGTAATTAGTACGCAATCCAAGACTCATTAATAGCAAAATCTCATTTAATATAATCCTGGTTGACTTCTGATTTCTGAGGGTTGATGAGAGTTGTGAATGCATCCTTGCTTTGATCCAAATGTTGCTAGGCTCCCAGCAAAAATAAATAAATAAATAAATTAATTTATGGGGTTTTATCTATGGATCCAGTATGTAGGGACTTCTTGGTGCAACTTTATGAGAACGATACAGCTAAAAACAAAGAGATAAAGCTGCAACAATGAATTGTAATTATTATTAGAGAAATGATTATCAAACATTGTCTGTAAGGCATAAGAACTTTTAAGATTTCATATATTTTTATCCATCTATGATGTAAATTTTTACACTGTTAACAATGACGTTACTCTTCGTTGGGAGATGTTTACTCACTTAATGTGATCTCCCGCCTTGAAATGATTAGTTTTCAGCTACCAGCGAGAGTATATCTTGGAAAACCAAAAAAAAAAAAATGATGTTACTCTTTACCCAAAAAAATGACATGTTACTATATTAATTATAACAATAATGATTTAAACAAACGATTTTATAAGAAGTAGCGATTCCTACTTAAATAATAATGTTAAAAATTATATACCGATGATAAAATTTAAATTAAATTCAAAATTAAAACACATTTGATTTGGACTCATTCTAAGCAGAATCAAGGGTACAATCCATTTTATAGCCCAAGAGGCTCAATAAAGAATACTAAGCAGAATCAAGGGAAACGAGTTTATCCCAGATAGACGTCATCTTGCAGGTACAG